TTAATCAAAACAATTATCATACTATCATAAAGGAGTTAGCCAAATGTCCTGAGTGAGAGGTAACTTTTGTATTAAATCCAAGATACCTACCCTGATAACATGCCTGATACTTTTGATACGTCTATAGTAGAAAGAAATGTAGAGCATATGTTAGATGTAGACTCAGCTATTATGGAAATAGATATAAGTTCATATGACAAAATAAAATAGAAGAATTAAAAGGAATCTATTGAATTCAAAAACGATGAATATAACGTGGATCTTGGTATAAGGACAAAATCAATTTTGTTCCATCTAATTATAAAGTAGCCCTAGCTGAAATTCAAAGTACAATGCAGTCTCTTGAATGTAAAAATCTGCATAAAAATTATAACAAAGTATTCTTTCAACAAGAAAAAGAAGGTGTTATAGAAAGGATACACATAGTATCAGAAGAGTATGAAAAATGTATTTGGATTCTACATAGACCAGTGATCAAAATGGAGTCTCAAGCTACAATAAAAATTTGACTGGTTTTCAACTGTTCACTGAAAACTGAGGGCAAGTGCTCCTTAAATGAGGCTGCCTATTCAGGAGCAAAAACATGAACAACAATATGATTGCGTTATTATTAAAATCCAAAACAAACAAGTATGTTTTGTTGGGTGATATAAAGAAAACCTTTCTAATGATTAAACTTAAAAGGGAGGAAGATAAATTCTGTTTCTTCATAAAAAATGGAGATGAACAGTTGTCCTTCAGATATAACATCTTGATTTTCGGGTTTACTACAAGTCCATTTATTCTTAACTATATTTTAAAATATCATTTAGAGCAGTACTTGATTGATGAATGTACTGAAGTACTAAAAAATAACTTATGCAGATAATCTATAACAAACTAGCAATCATCTTATATTAAAAAGTCAGTTGATAGACTCAAGGAAGGCAATTTCAACATACGCTCTTACAGCACTAATAGTAAGAAGCTTAAATCAATTATAGTAAAGGAAAATACCATCTCTCTACATGAAGGTTATGAAAAGATATTAGGATATAATTATTGTCCTAACAATGATACGATGACAGTGACAAAGATCACAATAAACAGAAATGTGAGGACTAAGAGGCAGATATTAGCCCAGTCAGCCAGGAATTTTGACCCATTGTCATCATAGGTACCTGTTACTATAAGATCAAAATTAATCTTAAAGAAATTTTGGCTTATAAAATCAAACTGGGATGAGGAAGTTCCCAAGAATATATTTGAAACAGGGTCTGCCTTAGCAGAGGACTTGTTCTACATTATCTGACTTCTCACGTCAAGCTATTGATACAGAAGAGGCCTTGAAGCTTTATATATTTTGTGATACATCCCTGCATGCTTATGGTTTCATTGTTTATGTAATGCAAAATGGGAATTTGCACATACTCATTGCCAAAGATAAAGTGGCTCCATTAAAAAGAAAATCCATTCCTACCATGGAATTATTGGCAGTGCATATAGCCTTTAAAGCAATGTCTACAATTTTGAAATCATATTCAAATGTTATGATTGAAAATGTGTGCATAATGGTGGATGCACAGGTTGTACTATCATGGTTACTTAGTGATACACCTAAAACCAAAATCTGTTTGTCAGAAACTGGCTTAAGGATATACAAGCCATGAAAGATCAATTTGAAAACAATCATAAAAAAAAGAAAGATAAAATTTAAATACATACCCCTCAGCAGGACACCCATACCATACCCATATTTAAATACATACCCTACTGACCTGATTTCATGAGGAGTTAACCTTGACTAGTTTGTGACTAAATTCGAGTTCTGAAAATATAGTCTGTCCAAAAGACTCTTTTTACTGGTCTAGCAGCAGTCTGGAGTGTTTGAATTTGTAGCTTAAAGGAGTCTCTATTACTCTGACTTTGCTCATACAATTCAAGTTACTACTGGTTCAATCCACTGTTCTTGCTTTCTGCACACTTCAAAACGTAAACCAGTCTTTTCTTTCATTCTCACTGATTCAGTCCTCTTATCAGGCCAACACTGCGGTCAACCAATCAATCAGCGTTCTTCATTTTATTCTCAGTTATCCAGTTAAATAGCCTCCTCCAGTTTGACCAATCAGCACACAACTTGCTATTGGTTGAAGCATGTTAAACTGTACAAAAACCCTTGTTTCTGCACATACTGCTGGAATGGCTAGACGGGAGAGTAATGCCATTTTCAAGGAGCAAACTTGCCGATGCTATGTGCCACTTCTTGAGGTAAGACCCTTATTTTCCTATGCACCAGATGCAAGCAACTCTGGCTCGCTTCCTTCTATGGGACTGTTCACCACAGAATTCAAAAGTTAAAGATGTGAGGTCTGAGTTATATTTTGGCACTACTACCAAGGTGGATTCAGCCTCAATAATAAACATACAGATATTCTCTACATTTACAACATTAAGTAATGCAACAGCCATGGTGCTTGAATTCATACATGAATGCAGAAAATGACCCAGCTTGAGAAAGTTATATCTCATCAAGTCAATGCAGAAAGAAGTGTTTGAAAGAGAATTAAAGTATTTGAGAGTTTCTAGTAAAGGTGAAATCCCCAAGTTTATGGAAAATTTAAACATCATCTTGGATAAGGATGGAATACTATGAGTAGATGGCAGGATAGCCAATGTAGCCAGATTCAAACTGGAAATAAAATATCCCATATTATTGGCTAAATATTACATAACAAGACTAATTTGTGAAGATGCTTATCATTGGTGTAAACACTTGGGAGATTATCTGGATATTGGAAGCAAGACAGGTAGTCAAATCAGTGATATCTGGGTGTTGTGCCTGCAAATGCTAGAACAGTCTGGTATTTAGATATCTCAGACTCACCAACATACCTAAGTACAGAGTGAACTTAATAAACCCATTTCAACATATAGGAGCAAATTACAATGGCCACATATGGGTAGAAAAAGAAAAAGAAACAAAGACATTTGTTGATATTGATGTATTTGAATGTACGAGCTCTACATATTGAAATTGTACGAAATATGGGGACTTCATTCAAGCCTTAACATGTTTTACCAATCTTTATGGTGTACCAAGCCATATATACAGTGATAATGCTAAATCATTTACCACTGCCCTGGGCATAATATTATTGACATTCACATGCATAATAAATTGTTCACTGAAACTTTTGCAAGTACAACAATAAAAGACATAAAATTGCTTTTTATTCCCCATGTGTAGGATGGATGGATGGATGGATGTTGGATTTAACGGCATGTCAACTCCTATTTCCCCCATGTGTAGGAAGTGTCTAGGAGTGCATGATCAAAGCAATAAAAATCAGCTTCTTCAAAACAATTGGAAGATCGAAAATCAATTACTATGAATTATTGACATTATTATCAGATATACAGAGGTCAATTAATTCAAGACCCTTGACATATTGATGCTCTTTGGACAATGGGCTCATTCCATTAATGCCAAATTAGTCATAAACACAAATGTGAATGGAGAAATAGTAATACATCAGAATATGCCAGTTAACAAAAGTACCGAACCAAGAAGAAACCAACTGATAGAGTCTCTGAAAAACAGAGGAACTATTAGAAAAATTCAATGAAAATTTGTATGATGAATATTTACTCAACCTCAGTGAAGGGTGTAAAGAAATGCATGAGATAGATTATCACAGTAAAATCCATGTTGATGAAGTTGTGCTAATTAAGAACCCAGCAAAACCCAGGCCATTCTGGCAACTGGACAGGGTCACAAAATTACATTTAGGGAGTTATGAAAAGGTTCACTCAGCTGGCATAATGAAAGCAAACAGGTCTGTGGAGATACACAGTGTAAAATACTTATTTCCATTAGAATTGTCCCTGACCCATAACCATGATGCAAAGAAACCGCCAGAAGATGCATCACAAGAAAAAAAGGCCCATGTCAGGTATAAAAGAAAAAATAAAAGTAATGCAGACTGATTTTGTTTATTATTAATATTACCAAAATAAATAAAGTAATTAATATTCACTGTTCTGACAGAATAGTATGGCCAGAATAATAACAAGAAATCCTAGGGCAGTCTGCCTGCAAGCTTCCTAATCTTTTTATATTTTTGTTACTAACCTTTTTTATCTCTGAACATTTAATGCAGTTATCATTGTAAATTGAATATTATATTAACAAAGTGATTAATTATGAACTCTGGTGACTTATTGAACTTTACATGTTGAATAAATGGTTGCATATGGAAGTACATCTAACTAGGCAACATGAAATATTCTTAACTCTTTGTACAATCTTCGGAATGACCACATCCATACACCCTTATCTCTACAGAATCTGTAGATGGTGAGAACATCAACTCACTCTCAGCTGATAGGTTTGGTTGCAGACACTATTAAGTTTGCAAGGACCCATTTGTAATGCTGATTAATATAATTTTACAAATCATAAGTCAATTGCATTCTATCCTTTTATTATTACTATGTCTGCATCCATCACTTTCCCATCAATTCCCCATAGTTTTCACCATGATTGGCCCTATAGCTATCACCTGAGTAAGTATGGAAGTTTTAAATGGTGATTTCAATCTTCATAGTTGTGTGACTTCATGCTCAACATTACCAGCTGGTTGATCAGATCAAAGGCCTTTTTAACCACCTGTCTAGCCCAATTAAGAGCAAAAGTGGAGCATTGCATTTTTATGACCTCTTATTCACTTAGGACTGCTCAGCCACCAGGACCCCAGGTGGCCTCATTGGAAGGGTTTTACCTTTCCATAGATGTGTAGCTCCAGTTGACAGGGAAGGCCACTTTCCAGAAGCTAACTGCTTCTAGTTAAGGACTAGCACTTTATACACAGTATGCATTTTTTTTTTCTGGTGTTAGATTTGAAACTGCCCATGATTATAGCAAACAAAAGATATTCTCAAATACCTTACACACTGAGCATATGTGTTAGATTCTGGCATAAGTCATTGATGGGTTAAGCAAATATATAAAATAAACTGACCTCTTGGAGTCGGTCTTCAATTGCTGTGGCTCCAAGCAAATTAAGATTCTATAAAAAAGAATAATATTAGTAATAATAATTGAAAAAGTACAACATACTTTCAGTTTAGGTGAATAATCTGTAAAGTCTGGTGAAAATTGCAAGAAATTCACTAGACTCCACTTACATATTATGAAAAATTTCATAGCTCCTAAGGTGATGAAAGAACTAAGGAAATAAAATAAAAAATGGCTTGATAGTATTTTCTTTATACCTGATTAAACTACACATACAACAAAATTACTATGGTTGATTACATTATTAAATTGATAAAGCTATCAATTGTAAACTTTAATTTTTCAGTTATTAAAACAGGATTTTGATGAACTAGAATTTTAATATTCATAACTTAAAATTGAGATAAGCATAATATAGCTAGATAACAAAAACAAACCTGTTCAATAAGCTCAGCAGCTTCCTCCAGTTTTTTCTCTCTATTTTGAATAGTTGTACTTGCTTTATAGTAAGTGTGCTTCCATTCATCGTAAAAATCTAGAGAAATTTCTGCTGAGGCAATACACAGAGTCCTGAGACCTACAAGTACAATAAGAATTATCTTGATTAAAAGTGATAGGATAACAGTAGTGGTAATGTATAAAAACATAATGAATCAAACTTGATTGCTATATATTTCTTTAGTATCTAAGAAGGTAGATAAAATAATTTTGCTTACTTGTTTTATAAAAATATTCAATCACTATAAATTTTGATTATTATTTATTTCAATCACTATAAATTTTGATTATTTAGCTTTCTGTTGTAACTTTACTCAGTCCATCAATCTTTGGCAGTGAGTAGACAGCATGGGACCAGCAATAAAGCATAGGCTCTCAGTGAGATTAATCTTTGCAAGAAAAATTAAAATATCAAATAGCTATAGGAAGACAATTCAAATATAGAAATCAATTAAATATGTATTTGTTATTCTTCATATTTTTAATTCAAAATATTTTTTATGACAAGTGTTCAGGATGAAATCATAGTAGTAACTCTTAATTTAATGCAAAAGTTTATGAAATATATGTGCAATTTTCAACATACCTGTTGTAGCAAATTCTTCCAAATGTGTCAAAGTAATGTCCTTGTATAACTGGTTCTCACCCAGACGTTCATATATCACTGTATCCTAATTGAAGATGAGGATAAAAAGTATGCTAAGATAGCTATAAATAAAAATATTTATTGAAACTTTTTGATAAAGAGAAGTTTCCTTATAATACCATAACATGTATTTTTAACTTAGATGTATATTTTAATAAACCATTCATTTTAATTGTTTTTAAAGCATTTTGGAATATTTCAATTTTATCCCGAAATGTATATATATATATACAAATTCATTAAAAGTTTTAATAAAATATTCCAGAAAAACACAACCTTATTTTAAAGTAACTAACTTGCATTTATTAGTATTCATCCAATAATTTTTAGATAGTGGTTATGATTTACAATTCTAATCTGTCAATCTGTTTTTGGAAATGAAGGGAGTGCTTTCAATTAGGCTGTGCGGCAAATTTTAAATTAAAATAAAAAAAAACAAAAAACTAACAATTGTTTGTTGAAAGTGAGAAAACACCATAACATTTTTTTTCTCTTTGAGTGATTCTAACTGAAAAACATTGCAAAACGATGAAGACTATGGTATCTAATAATTGAATGTTGCAAAAGAATTTGGTGTTATGATAGGTCAGCTTAACAAGTTCAAAACTCCTGAGAGTTGATGATTGAGTTTAGGTTGATAACGATGGGAGGTATCAGATCAGATAAGCAAAAAGTAATGTTTGTTAGTCTTCTCTCATGCACAAATTTTTCATTGATATCAATTTAAAAAGTTGACTTAAATTTTACCTGAAATTTTGAGTGCTATTTTATATTTTATTAAAAATATTTTTGACTTTGAAGGCATTGTCTGAATTTGTGGTCTTATTTTTTTTTTTTTTTTTACAGTGTTTAGGATCGCACTGTATTATCTATTTTTATATATCAATGAAACACAGTAATAACTTTTGATTGTGTACCTTCAACAAAGGGATGTAGCGTATAGAAGTCATAAAAAGATTGAAAACTACTGCTTTAAATTCTTACATGTTTTCACTCCAAAGAGAGAAATACATATATATATATATATATATAAAAATCAAACTCACTGCTCCTTTGCAGAAAAGTTTAATCTTTCCATCTGGACATCTAAACACAACAGACATTCGTTTACGTGCACTGAAAGAAAAGCAAAGTAAAGTGTAAGTCTGATTAAAGAGTTTGTATCAGCATTTTATTAATTTATTTACTAAAATATTTTGAGTAAAACATATTTCTCATAAAAATAGTATGAAGAAATAATAGTAACATGAAAAAAATTGAGAATGAGCTACAATTTCTATTTCATAAATAGTAAATTAGTATAAATGATAGTAAACAAAAAGAATTCTCATCTGGAGTAATAAGCTATTCATCAAATTTTTGACTACTGAAAAAACATGAAGAAAAAAAATGTTCAATTAATAATTAAATTTCTACATACCTTGTAAACTCTAAGACATTCAAAACTTCATAAGTTTCATTTTTGCCAAACTGGAATAGAAGAAGAAATGAAATTGACTAAGGATCGAACACATGTTTTTCTTAATTCTTTATAACTTGAATTCCAGAAATCATCAAAATGTATAGAGCTGTGCATAGACAGAATTTAACATTTACTATTGTTAATATTATAGATGAGTTTGTAGCTTTACTATAGAAGATGGTCACATGAACATGTTGGTTCCAGTATGGAATGGTTTCACTGCAAAATAACCCCCACCTCCAATTTATAGACAAACCCACACAGATGCATGCTGGGATTTCTTCCTAGCCAATAAGATAAGCCATTTCTTGGTCTCATCCCAGTTGCAGTCTTTCTTATCTTGAAGTCAGAATGCTGCGATCGCTTCCCTTTTGTGTGTTAGCACCATTCTTAGTTTGTGAACTTTTTGCCATATTTCTGTTGCTTTGCCTTACATATATTGTTTGCTTGCTTAATATTATTTTTGCCCTGTTCTTTTCTTTCTCTTGTTATTGTTTATTGCAAACTTTGACAATTGTTTGTTGAGCATTTCTGCTAATTACATTTAACCATGGCCACATATTCCACAGAACATGCTAAAGAAAGAAATAACAGCTAAAAACTATGTGGGATTTTTGCAGTGATTCAACAAGTGAACTCCTCAAAGTATGACACTACTGACGAAAAAAAAAACTACATTTCCAATAAAAAAGTAGTGAAACTAATTCTGTTTAGGAGTAAATTATGTAACTTGAAAAGGGCATCATAAAAAGTGAAATGTTTACAGCACTGACCCAACTTTTTCATATGCTTTGCAAACTATGCTTAGTATAGTTTTAAAATCTTTAATATTCAATTTGTTTTTAAATGCCTGCAAAACATTGTTTAAAAATAGTTAGACAAATCCATATGGAAAAACAATTTTTTTCAGAACCAAATTTGATAATAGAATATTTGACAATACAAATATTCATATTTTTTTCAATGTCAAGTTTTTCAAGTTACCTGATATTCTTTTATGGACAGTGCTTCATAATGATGTTTAAATTTACAGAAATAATTTTAAAGTTAACTTTTTTTTTTCAAAGTATTTTGTATTTAATCATTAAGTTTCATTTCCATTTAAATAGTTTTAGTATATGCATTTCATTGTATGCTTTTTTACTGATAATTTAAAAAAAAAGTGTTAATTAGAAGATTCAAATATGTCACTCTTTAATAATAAAAATGTATTTACCACTTCAACAGTAACAGTTTCTGGAGTTCTGGTTGTAAATATGAAACCTAATTTCTTGGCACCTCGGACTAAAGCTCCTTCATCTGAAAGACAGAAGCAAACATTCTTGTAAAAAAAACAAAAAAAACAACAAAAAACTGCATGATTATAAAATAATAGTTACATAATTGTTACTGATTTTTATTTAAAATATTTCTTTGTTTATAATAGTTTACATGTAACATTAGGGTAGGTTGATTTTGGAACTCTGGAATTGCACTGAATTTGAAAGTTGGGCTTTGACATGATAATGACACAAAATATTTTTTTCCAAATCATTACTGTTTTTCATGTTGGAATTCTGGTGATTAGGGAAAGATTTAATGCTGTCAAAAAAAAAAAAAAAAAAAAAAAAAAAATAGCCTTGTGGAAAAAAAAATGGGTATACATTATTTAAAAGGTTTTTCGATTGATTTATTGAGAACAAGGTAAATGTTGCAAAAAGAAGTAAATCAGAATTATGAATAATATAAAAATATTCACTTTATAAAGACAAAATGAAAATTAAATACAATGTATTTCTTTAGACTTTGTTATTTTCCAGTGGGTGGAAAAATAATTCAACTAATTCTCAAAAAAAAAAAAAAAAAAAAAAAAAAAAAGTCTTTATTTTTAATCAACAGCATATATTTTGTTTATGAATCTTGTCCTGAAACTTTCTTCAATCACTATTATTTAATTTCTCACTGTTATAAACATTTGTTTCTGAACAGTGTGAAATTAGTTCTTTTGCCTTTTTATACAACAGACTTAATTATTTAAAACTATTTTTCTATTTTCAGATTTTATTAAAATAGGGTAATATTTGCTCTTGTCCTCTTCACAAGAAGTTAATGTTGATTTTATGCTTGTCTTGTTTTGTTTTTTTTTCCCTCTGTTTAATTTGAACTAGTTCATGTCCTCATTTTCAAAATTTAAATCAATTGCAAAATATAAATTTACTTCTGATAATCTTCCCTTCTCTGGTAAATAATATTGTGATATTTTCCTTCATATTTATCATGTATGCTAGATCTGGTTTTAAACTAAAACACATCTTGAAATTTCAGGTTTCACTTGAAGATAGAGAATATTTAAAAGCTAAGAGAGAAAAGGACCAAAAAGCAGATCCTAACTTGGAACGATTTACAAAGATACTGTCAAAAAACATAAAAAAGTACAGCTGTAGCAGAAAGATTAAACAAGAAGATTGAAAAATAGCAACAACAGGATTCTTCTACATCAGATATTTTCCATCAATGGATACCAGTAAAGAAACAATCGATGACAGTTATGAGAAGGGAGACAGTCTAAGGGAACATACAGCCTGTAGATATGCCATAGAACTTATTAAGGGTTATGTATCTTCTAATCTTGGGGAGTGGTTTGCTAATACCATTTTATTAGGCCTACAAGATATGGGCTTTTTTTTATCCAAGCCTTAACTTAAAGGACATTATCAGTGATAAGTTAAAAATAGACAGGGAAAAGGCCAGAAGAAAACAGTGAAAATAAATTTAAGAAAACCAAAGGACCAGAGCACCATTTGACTTTTACCAGAGATGGATATGGAAAGTAGATATCTCACCCACAGAGTTATCCCTAACCTTGGTGCAGAGGATTATGCTGCAGTTTTAGAATTCGACAGCATAAGTTCCATTAAGGCAGTTGTTGTGTACAATACCAGCATAAACACTGGTTGTGAGGCATGGCTTCTAACAGCTCTGAAGAAAAAAAAAAAAAAACTTGCATACTTTTCACTTCGTGAAAAGGAACTGCCATTTTGAGCTGTTTTTAAGTACATTGATGGAACTACAAGAAGCCATACTACTTTTATATGGTCCTCTAAGGAAATTTTGTGAAAATGATTACCAGGATTTGCCCCAGATAGAATTTAATACTAACAGTGGCCTTTTGGATAAATTATATCTTATTGCAGGGGCAATGGCAAATTTAAGTGGTAATCAGAGACTGCTCTTAGAATATGCAGCAGGAATTTTTCAAGAGGAAAGTGAATGCTAGGTTTTCTGCCTGGAAAATTGAGTTTCTAAATCAAGCAAGAGATGCCTATCCACCAAAATTCTGATAAATTGTATAGCCTTATAAAATTTATAATTGAAATATATGTAGTCAGTTGGTTTGAAATTAAAAGGGATAATAAATTCCATAACCAACAACCATGTCTTCAACATGTTCCAACAATCAACTGAAATACAGAATGTTGCATTAAAAAATTTACAGCACAAAAATATTTTTTTGATACAGAAATAGTGGGCCACTAGAAAAGTGATTAAAAAATATTACATTTCAACTCTGAAGCAATACACTGGTCAAATTTCATTAACCTCCCATAAAATGGAGCTTGTGAACATGTGTTTGCAGAAGGTTTTTCAATTAACTGCAAGAGGTTCTAATGAATTAAACAACAGAGTTGTCGAATTTACTTGTACATTTGCACAGTGTGGAAAGAGCAGTTAAATTAACTACTGAAGCTTCACAAATTTTATATGGATAAGAAGCAAAGAAAAAACACATTATTACTAAATCATTGTACCATCAAATAATGGCCTTCATTTACTTCAAAGGAAAGTTATACTGAACAATTTAGAAATATTATTAAGGTAATATCTTATAGAGTGCAGTAGTTTTAGCATGATTTTCAATAAAGAATGCAAATTTAAAACATTTTATAATTTGTGCCCAGCAGTATTAGGGTATTATATATATATATATATATATATATATATATATATATATATACATTTTTTATGTTTTATTTTTATTAATTATGACCTATCAAATTGTGCAAGATGTTATTCATTGATGAGCCTTTATTGTAATCTTTTATAATTTTTACACAATTTTCACTTATAAATATATACAATAAAAAATTGCATATTTTGCTTGTGGTGAGTCATAATGAGAATTCTAGTTTGAATATATTTCCATTCAATGTGTCAAATACAAAAAATATTAACTTTATTTGGATTTATTCTTGAAAGTTAAATTTTGAAATCAGTTTGTAATCAAAAACCTGCTGAAATTAGGTTATTTCTGTACATTTTTTCAGACAATCTTTAAAAGTAAATACTAAAAAATTAGTAAAAGCTGAGTAATTTTTGGTGTTAGTACCTATCACATCTAACCCCAGCTATTGCACCAAGTGCAGTGTTGATTTTCTTAAAAAAAAAAAAAAAGAAAAAAAGAGAGTGAAAAATCAACCTGCCCTAATATAACATGGGTCATTCTAGTTGGATTAAAATGTTATATTTCCAAGTAATTGAAATTCTGGTCAAAGATATTGGAATAAAAAAAAAAGATTCAAAAGCAAAGGCACAAAGATAATAAAAATGTTATATTTTTAAGTAGTATAAACAGAAAAATTCTACAACAAATCAAACTATTAATTAATCTGAAGTAGGAAGAACTGTTTAATTCAACTAAAAAAGACAAAAGTACAAAACTCATAAATTATGCTGTATCATTTGCTGCATTAATCTCAAATATTAGCATTAGATAGGAGAAAGCAAAGTACTTCAATCATTTTAAGCAGAAGTATCAAGTGATAGAATGCAAAATATGATAAAGAAAACATAATTGTTTAAAATTAGATCTTTTAGAAGTATTTAAAAACATTTTCTGAAATAAAAACAATACACAAAGGAAATCATATGTAAGATCAGTAATAAAATGAGAATAAAAATGCTAAGAAATTTTTGTGAAAAATTACTTTTATAAAGTAATAGTAGGTTAAAACCAGATAAAATCTAGTATAGAGTGAGAAGAACTTTACTGCTTAGATTCATTTGATTCTTATAAATCAAGAGCAAAAATGTTGAATGCTTTTCTAAATAATTTGTTTGCAAAAATTGAAATAAAGAAAAAATATGAAAAGTTGGAGAAAAAAAAAAGAGCGAATAGAAAAAGCAATTTTATTTGATATTATTAGGCATTTATATAAAACGAATCAATGCTAGACATAATTTATAAAATAGAATGAAATAAGTGAATTACCAGGAGATGCTGCCTGGTAAATGATATTGCTATCATCCCCATTAGTTTCTGGCACAACTGTATGGCATACAGCCATCAGTGTTAGGAATTCTCTTATTTTTGAAGATGTTTCCTGAAAAATAAAAAAATAAAAAAAGAAGAAAAATCACAATTGATTTGCCAGATTATATTTCTGTTTTTTAAAAGGAAAGATTTCTAACAGGATAATTTAAGGACATTAAGATATAGGTATTTTACCAGCACATTCATATCGCAACCAGATGTGATACAAGATCGTGGTTTAAAGCAGATTTAACGTTTTTACCATGAAAATATTCCCAAGCCCCCTTGGCATTTCCCCTTTTGAGGACACTTTAGGGCAATAAAACCAGCTTCCTCCTGAGGGAGAGGTATTGCCGAGAAGGGGGGGTATTAGAAAGGCCCCTGGAGCTTGGGCTTAATATTGAAAAAATATGAACCCCAGCCACAGAAAGGAGTCATTACTTTCTTTTGAATAATGATTTTTTTTTTTTTTTTACAAATATTATCAAAATTAGTTATAGAAAACCAACTTACATGTTTCTGCAAATTTTCCAGCAACAATGGATCATTAAACTCTTCATCTTCTGTAGTAGTGCTATAAAATGCAAAAACAAAGCTCAGAAGAAGAAATTTTTCAGTAAAAATATTACTGGATGATAAATATAAGAATCCCATTTCATATTAATTAAATATTTTTATCATATATTGCAGTAATTAGTACAGTGTAAATTAATTTTTGGTGAAATAGAATTGTTAAAAACATCTCTTACTTTTTATGTTAATATTGACATCTAGAATGCTAAATTAGGTCCAATTATTTCATTTTGTGGCAACAAATTTCATAACAGTTTTCTTAAAGTTCCAAATAAAAATCACCATGGATTAAAGAAAATTTTATCTCAAGGAGGGAAATGGAAGAGAGTGATTGGTACTTTATAAATTCAACCATTAACATTCTAAATCATCTGCCTCAATGATTTTATTAAAACAAATGAAGACAATGATGATGATAAATTGTAGGGGAACAAAATAATAATTTGCATCTTTTATTTGCTATGTTCCTTCAGGAGATTGGCGATCATGGCTCTTCACAATTTCTCACCCTTTGTAATTCATAAATTTAATTTTAATCTCATTATGCATACAAATTGTATTTCTGCTTAAATATCTGTATTAAAACTAATACTTTTATTTTAAAAAAACAATTAAGATGATATAGGATAAAACTAAAAATATATATAATGTATGGTCTAATTAATAATTAATAGCACACTAAATAATTAAAGGAATTTTATATGAGCCAATATTTGTTAGGCACACCAAAAAAAAACAAAAAAACACTCACCCATATATAATTCCTGCAATAGAACATCTCTTGAATTCCATAATATTCCTAGTTAATGTGCCTGTTTTATCAGTGAAGATATATTTGACCTGTATGAAAATAATTATGCCAGAGATGAATGTTTTACATTTCTTGCTGCATTAATCAAAATGAGAAATTTTAAAAATTAATGAAACTATTTTCCACAAGATTATTCTATGTACACACACTAGTAATTAAGTAATAATAATTATATCATTTGCTATAAACAAAAGATACTAGGTAATGACTTGAACAAATATAGCTACTACTGAAGGAAACTGACACTTTAAAAAAAGGGGGGGGATTTTTTTTTCTTCTGTGGTTAATTTTTGTTGATTCATTAAACCTTCCTCTAAAGCATGGTGTTTGCCAGAATGAAAGATACTGATTTTTTTTATTGAAAGTGAGGGTCCCATACATAAAATAATCGCTTGTTTTTATTTACAAATGCCCACATCATTGATAACTGCATACAACTGATGTCTTTTTCCTACTTTAGGATTTCCTCATATAAAAAATAAATTTTTGTGGAACAGATAAGGAAATTTTGATTTCAATTCTGACAAATGTTGAACTTAGAATGTCTAATGAATGTTAATCAACAAAAATTAATCACACACACAAAAATATTTTCCCTATTTATTTTTTATGATTAGATCAATTTCCCTCTGTAGTGCCTAAATATGTAATGAAAACAGTACTTAAATTTTCATTTTTCTGAGCAGTGAAGGAAAAAGAATACCAATTTTGTCCATATTTGCTAATTAGAAGATGATTATTTTTCAAAGTCTAAATATAATTGAGTTTATGTGACAGTATTGGAAACTATTAATTCTGCAACATTTTTTTCAGTAAGAGGCAAGACTTTAGTTAACAGATCTGTAAACTAGTCTAAAAAAATAAGAAAGAATATCAGAAATACTGATGACTTTTATAAATATATTTATGGCTCCAAAGAAATCCAAAGTGCCAAAGATAAAACTGTTTACATGATCTTTGAAAAGTTGTAACAATAGCACTGATTCATGTAGAAAGTTCAATACAAGATTTCACAAACATTATTAAAAAAATACTATCAAGCATATCTCTATCTACACATGAGATAGTGCAAGTTGTATAATATTTCATTATATATTCATGAAGTATATTTTATTATGTAAGCTACAATTTTAGGCAAATTATAAATAATAATCACACACACAAAAATATTTTCCCTATTTATTGTTTATTCTTTTAAAAACAGGAGTAGTGTTTTATGCTTTTATTTAAAAATAAATGCATCTAATTTGTTGGTACTTAGAACTATGAATTCTGGAACAAAAATATAATATAAAACAAAATAAAGATGAAAGTAACTTATATTTTTTTGACTACAAATGAAGTAACTATTGTAATATTAGCTTAGTTTGTCAAATATATTTTTATGATTAGAGAAATACCTAAAAGAAAAATTGACTTAAAAATGTGTGATTTAGCAGCAGGGTTAGGGTTAACATTTCATACAACATATTTATGATGTCAAAAAAATATTGGATTAAATTTATTGAATTATATCTCATTAACTTTATGTAAGAGCATTCTTAATAAATGACTTTTCTTTATTAATTTTGTAGTATAAAAATATTACTTTTGCTCTTTGATTTTAAATCGTAAACTAAACTAAAATTAAACATTTTTTTAAAATACATTTAAGAAAGAAAAACAAATTACTAATAAAAAAATAAAATTTTATCATCAGTATATTTATTGTTATGAATGACAATATCAAAGTAAAATATTAAAATTAACTTTGTGACATTGGTATCTTTAAATAAAATTCAGTGTAAAACGGAATCAAGGAAAGTCTTCAGAAGAAAAGTCTCTGTTAAAAATTAAACATAACAAAATATTAAAATTAACTTTCTACATTTGTAAGAAAGATTAGAAAAAAATCAGATTAATAAATTATTTCTTTAAATCAAGTAAAATTAAAATGTTACATTCTGGTATAAGAAATGTGGTAAAAATTCAACATACTTTTTTTTATTTGTTACAAACAACTACAGATTACACAAAAATAGTGTTGATCATTAGTGTATTTGTATAAATTTCACAGAGAGGAATATTTATAAATTAACTTCCAAATAACAAGACCAACATTCCTAAATTACATCTTTTTTTAACAAATTTTACACAATAAATTAATTTTTTTGTAATAAACAAAATATTATAGAAAGTCCAAAGGTAATAAAATAAATAAACCTTATACTTACTTTAACATGCTAAAGTTATTCCAAATGTAAAAATTTTCTTAAGTTGGCTATAGCAGTAAATTACCATAAACCCAAATTGAAACTAAAATGTCTAGGTCACTATCAAATGATGAAGAAATTGTCACCCAGTTCTGGCCTTCAGTTACACTATGAATTGGCCTGAAGTAAAGAACACCATACTGCAGATCTACTAGGATTTTCAAACACAACAATCTCCTGGGCTTAGAGAGAATGGTCAAAAAAAGAAAATTCTTGTGAATAGCAATTCTGTGGGCAGAAATCCCTTGTAGATGAAATAGATTAGAGGAGGATGGCCAGACTGGTTCAAGCTGATAGAAAGGCAATGGTAACTCAAATAACCACTATTTTTAAAACAAACATATACAGAAGAGCATCTCTGAATGCACAATATGTCAAACCTTGAAGCAGCAGAAAACCACAGCAGGAGCCACTCCTGTCAGAGCAAGAGACTGAGACTACAATTTGTTAAAAGATCACAAAAATTGAACAATGGAACATTGGAATGAATATTTCGTGATCTGATGAACCTCAATTTCTACTGCAACTTTTGGATGGTAGGACCAGGATTTAGAGTAAACAACATGAAAGTATCAATGGTTCAAGCTGGTGGTGGTGGTGTAGTTGTATGGGGGGGGGCTATTTTCTTGGGTATAGAATGAGACACTTGGTACCAATGAAAGATCATTTAAATACCATAGCCTATTTAGGTATTGCGGCTGACTATATACCTCAATTTATGTTTGCAATGAACTCATCCTCTGGTGGCCACTCCAAGGAAGAAAATTCAATGTTACAAATGACAAATAACAGCAGATCGTTATCCTATAGAGCACCTTTGGAATGTGGTGGAAAGGGACATTTGGATTTTGGATGTGTAGCAAAAGAGGCATGGTGGAATAATGGATAGCGGATCGGATTGAGTAATCAGAGAGCAGAGTTTGAATTCCAGTCAAATTCATGACATTCACTTATGTGCTACTACCCTTGGGAAAGGTATGAATCCTCTTCTCCCCCAGCTATGGATAAATAGCAAGACAGACTGGGATCTATAGCCTTGGATGGCAACTGGTCTACTGTAGAAAGAAATGGCAACCTACTGTAGGAAAAAAAATTGCCTTGTCAGTCATGTATTGAAAGATACATGATTGCTTAAGTGTGGCACATAACTGACTGAGCTGACCAATGTGGAGGAATACCAGATGCCATAACAACGGCATGGACCCAACATTCAAAAGAAAGCTTCCACAACATTGTTGAATTTATGTCAAGAAGAAATGAGGCTGATCTAAAGCAAAAAGCGGAATAGTACACCTAATAAAGTGACCTGTGAGTATACCAAGTTAGACAAAAAAGTGGGCAAGAGAAAAAACTAAAGAGAAACTTAAATTTCAGCTATACTCACTTGTCCTAATTCTTCATTCAGATTAGAAGTTCTTGCCATTGCTGGAGTATCAGTTGCTTCATGATACATGTCGATATCCTGAAAATGAAATATAAAATCAGATTACTTTACAAAAAATGTTCTTGTTAAAAATAATAACTGACAAGGAAATGTAATTCTACATAGAATTAGTATGGCCTCTTAAACTTAGTCAAAGATTTTTGTTTTATCACTCTAGAATCAGTTTACTTTTGTAATTTAAAATAATTGACATCTATTTATGAGTTATGTACAGAACTTAAAATATTTACAGTGCACCAATCCTCTGGAGGTCACTTCCAGCAGGAAAATGCAGTGTCACAAATAAAAAATAGTAGCAGATTGGTTCATGGAACACAGCAATGAGTTCTGCATTAAAGTGACCTCCATAGTCAATGGATCTCAATCATATAGAGCACCTTTGGGATGTGGTAGAAAGCTGGTACATAAAAAAAAAAAAAAAAATTATAAAAAATATATACTTTTAATTGATGGAAAAGTTTATTATCTACTTGAACAAATGAGAAAGCAACTCACCCAATTGATGAAAACAGCTTGTATAAATTTGACCACCTCAAGAGTCACTTGAAGACTTATAGGTATCAAATTATTGTATAAAATGATGAAGGTCAAAAGATTATAGCCAAAATTGCTAGGAGCCATTTCTGAAAGTGACAAAATATAAATTTGTTAAAAGGAAGTTTAATAGTAAAAAGCAAATTGATTTTTATTACAATGCAACAGTGGTAAATTTTCTTATTTGAAATTGAACCGAGAAAGAGTAATGCTTCAGTGTCCAAACTTACATACAAAAATTGTCCTAATAAACTTTGACGAAAATTAATTTGTATCTTAGTTTGTGATATGTGTGTGTGTGTGCATGTATGAATATTTATAATTTGTAGGAACCAAAAGTAAGCAGATAAAAGAGATAACTGTTTGTTTTAATCCTTTTATCCGTTATGCAGATATTTCTTGACATAATTTAACAAGAAAAAAAAAAAAAAACAAAAACAAATAACACAAGTTGCTATGTTTGCATAAATAATCTTAATAGCATGTTATATATTTAAATATCTAACTTCTAAGATTATATATACATCATAAACTGAATTAAAAGCTCATAGTATTTTGATTAGCAACCGTAAACTGTAATATTTAAAAGGAAATAATAGAGGACTGTGTATCTGCTGATTGAATGGTTAGCTATTGTGTAATTTCATGGTTATTCCTGTAATGATGTTAATTATACACGAAAAAAATTTAAAAAAATTCACTTCTCGCAGCATAAGAAGAGGTTTTTTCAAAGTCATGGGGTAAATCTGCTTTCTGTAGTTAACGGCAATAAAATTTTGAAAAGGGTTAAGCTCAGTATAATGCCTAACCTTAATTTCTACACTATTTGACAATAAAATCAGTTATAATTAAAATAATGTGTTTATATAGTTTTCAGAATTCCAGATTTGAGCATAGAGTTTTATTATTAGTAATATCAAGTAGCTTCTGCTGAGGATAAAGTGACATCACTGTTGTTGAGACAATTTCAGTTGTTCTGATTGTCAATTCTCTCAAGTGTTTTTACAGAAGTCCTCAGGACTATTTGGAAGAATTCAATAATAACAGGCACAATCATCTCTATATTTCATAATTTGTTTAGTCTTTTGACAATATCCACATATTCCTCTAACTTTTCACATTTAATATCACTTTGGTCTATTGGAACAATGACAGTTACTATATATTTTATTTTTGCTTACAATGACTCCACTAGGTCTCCTGCCCTAGAGTGATCTGTCTGAATTTCCAAGTTCAAAGAGATCTCGCTTATTATATTCTTTTGGACAACTTCTGTTTGCGTTTATACCATGTTTGCATTACCATTATTATAAAATTAGAACAATCCATTAATTAAATTCTGAAATTACTTTCAGCTAAAATTCCTAGATAGATAACTAGAATAAAAAATTCTAATTTTTAAAATGTGCCAATATTTTCATTACAGTAAAATTAGGACAATTTAAAATGTTTCTGAAATTGATGTATTAGAATTAGTAAGGATTGTTATCCATACCTGCATATCCTAGATACCAATCTGTATTAACATGGTTGTGAGTCCACACAAAACTGGCAATTGCACTCAACAAAGATAAGAATATCAAAATCACAAACAGGATAAGAATCTGAAATTATAAAATTAAGAAATATAAGTTTAACAATGTACTTTTAATTAAAAATAAATAAAAATTCTTTTGTTATTTTAACCTTAACTAAATACAAGACTGTGAACCTCATTATTCCTTTAAAATGGTTAAGGGTGCATAAAGCATTAATTTATTAAAGAAATTATATTATTGCAACTGAAATTTAATTCTTAATGATGCCTTGAATTTTGATTATGGATAAAACATGTATTTCTATAAATACTTACAAGAGATGCTGAAAAGTTCTCAGCCAAACCCACTTCTTCAAACCTGACCAAATGACAAACATCAATTTTTAAAAAAGCCCTTCTTGGGCTGGCCATGAACTTTTCAGCATACCCTCAAACAAGCTCAAAATACATTAGAAAGAAACCTAATGTATAATACATATTAAAAAACATTGTAAAAATTCCTTTTAATATTTAAAAAAAAAATGCACTTATAAAAACAAATTGACACAAAAATTTTGAGTGTATTCTTGAGAATTTTAAACCAAATCAAAGAAATGTGATAAATAAAAGAATCATTACACAGTGTAGCAAAATTTTAACTTTTCTTTTAAGTCTTGGGTCAGTAATTATTATTTCCTAATTGCTTTTGTCTAGAAAACAAAGGAAATGGTATTATTCCCTTCAAACTTTGCTTTTGTGACCTGGACAGAGTGGGAAAATAGAGCCATGAAATTCACAACCCTATAAATTTGGAGGGAACCAACTGACCACTCAAGCAACTGCTCCTTCTGCACGGTAGACCCTTCCAAATGTCAAACTGGCAGAATACATCTGCCCTAAGCTCACTGTACCCACTCCTCCAAGAGAGAGCAGTTGTCTTCAGAAGAAAACAGCAATTCAGAAGAGGATGAGGTCCTTGATCCAGATTACAGAGGTGCTACTGAGGAAAGAAACCCATATTACTTCAACCAAAACAAACTCAACGACATGATCAGAGATCTTGGCCTCACAAAGTCCAATGCTGAGCTTTTGACATTGAAGCTCAAGCAGTGGAATTTGTTAGATGAAAGTGTACAAGTCACAGGTCAGAGAACGTGTCACCAGTGTTTTTAAAGCTTTTTCACCCATCAAGATAAGCTTTGCTTCTGCCACAATGTGACCAATCTGTTTGAGACAATTGGAATTGCCTGTAACTCCAGCAAATGGTACCTCTTCCTCGACAACACAACCAGGAGCCTCAAAGCTGTACTGTTTCATAATGGGAACATGTATCCCTCTCTCTCCCTGGCTCACTTGCAGCTCAAAGAGCAATACAGCAGTGTCAAGATTTTTCTAGATGCCTTAAAATATGAAGAGTATGATTGAGAGGTTATTGGAGACTTCAAAATGGTGGCCTTCCTGATGAGTTTCCAAGGCGGCTTTAACAAGTTTCCATATTATCTTTGCCTTTGGGACAGTAGGGACACTGCAGCACACTACCACAGTGAACAGAGTTCAATGTGGGAAGGAACAATGACAAATGCGAGCCACTGTTGAAACCCTAGAAATTATTCTTTCCTCTACTGCACTTAAAATTGGGCCTTATGAAACAATTTGTCACAGCTCTTGATAAGGAGCCTTCAAGCACTTTCAAGACTTCTTCCCTAAAGTCAAAGCCAGTGTCTTCATTGGACCATAAATAAAGAAGATCACAGCATGCAAGGAATTCCTCAAGAAGCTCATTAGGATAAATAAAGCACCATGGAACAGCTTTGTTGCAGTGGCCTGGGGTTTCTTGGGGAATCACAAGGCCAGAAACTACATGGAGTTTGTTCAGACCCTGATGAAGAACTATTGCAAAATGAACTGCTGAATGTCCCTCAAAGTCCATATCCTTGACGCTCATCTTGATAAATTCAAGAACACAAGGGCATACTCAAAGGAGCCATATGAGTGCTTTCACAAGGATATACTGGAATTGAATGCTGCTACCAAGGATGGTATTACAAAAACATGGGACACTATATTTGGGAGCTGATTTGTGAAAGTAATTTACAGTGCAAGCATAATTTGCAAAAAATTACTCACTTCCAAATTTTTCGTAGTCTCTCTAATCCTAAAATATGTAAATGCTACTTTTGAATCATATATAGTTTTGTTCCTCTTTGTGTGAACGAGAATGTTCACATTTGCTAGTTTTCCCCAATGGAAATAGGTAAATTTCAGAAATATTATCCTGGTTACAAAAGCAAAGTTTGAAGGAAATATTAGCCATTTTTCATACTTTCTAAGTGTAATAAGAAACAACAGTTGTTACCCAAGGACAAAAATCATGTTACACAATGTCATCAGCACATTTCTTTGAAGTTTATAAACTCATGATTGTTTACTTAAAAAAAAAAAAATTACTAAAAGAGAGAAACTAATAATAGAATTAGACAAATAGCTAATGATAATGCATATAATTTTATTAAGCTTTTATATATATATATATATATATATATATATATATACACACACACACTGTGTTATATTGTATACCATAGTAAAATATGAACAAGAAAATGTCTAATACTTGAGTGAAATTGTACAGACACTAAGTAAAAAAGAAAATTTAACATATTTGAATCAAACCTCTATGCTATATAATCAAAAAGTGGTAATACTTGATTTATTAATCAAATAGCATACTACTACATAAAAGAAATGATAGGCATGAGAAAAATACAATGAAATGTTCATGTACCATGAGAAAGCTTTCAGAATATAAGTTATACTTACTGCCTGGTTAGTGACTTTTTCTACATTAGACCTCTTCAAAGGTGCAGATGTTGAGTTCAGCATCAATTTGCTCTCATGTCCTGTGTAAATGACAATACCTGCAAAAGATCATGAAAGAATATAGCACTGATTAGAATTGTAGATGGCGTTAATGAATTATTTTTTCAACAGTCTCACACATATAATACTTAAAAATCATTAAAAATAGAGAATTTATTAGAACTATAATAGCAGACATATCAGAGAGGTGAGTCATAAGAAAAAAAAGAGAGGTAACAAAAAATATATATCACTGTAAGATGGTTAAACCGAAGTATAATGATGATTAAAAACAGCTAAATCAGTTTATCAGTGCTCTCTCATCAGAGCAAAAATCAAAGACAAACAAAAAAAAAAAAAAAAAAAAAATGTGCACAGCAACTAAAAAAATACAATTCCAGACTATGCTAGAGGAAGATTCCCCCAACACTGCAAATTGCAACAAAACTGAAAAATTAACCTAAAATCTTGAGTCTTGTCCATAAATACATCAGATCAATACTTTTATATATAGACGTCATGCATGGCACCAAACTCATTCAGAAATATCTAAACTGTCAGCTGTATACAACTACTTTCTCAGATCAATAGTTAAAATGGCTTTGAACAAACCCAAGCCTGTAGGTGTTAGCAAAGACTATTCTTCTTTAAACTTTGTGGGCTAGAGCTACAGAATCACAAACAAAGAACTGTACCAAATAACAGAAACCACATGAGAAAAAATAATAATATAATCAAGGTGTTAACTTTCAGTATTGGAAAGAGCGATAACAGCTGGTGGACTTGAGAAACTTATTTTCTTGTAAAACTGTTTTAAGAAAAAGATTTTTTATAAATTTCAACTGAAAGTAGCATTGGTTGCTTAGTCAATGAATCCTTGAAAGCTTCTTTATGAGGAAACAGCTAATATCACCATTACTATTCTTGGTTCCATATATTTTAAATAGTAATAAATAATATACAGATACTGTCAGTAGATTGGAAATGCATAATATATAGATATTTTAAAACTATTATCCTTGTGACACTATTTGGTGCTGGTAAATGGAAAGAAAGAGTTAAATCCAAAAACATAGCTCGGAACGAGACGAGAAGGGTTAATGAATAGAACGATGTACAGACCAAGAGAAAGAATGAAGATTTCTCTTTTCCAAAAGAGAAAAGCTTAATTCTCTAAAACCAGAAAAATTACTTAAGGAAAGGTGACATTACCACAAGAAGCCATGTGGCAATCTTTAAGCTGACAGCTGATTAATGACCCAGCTCCAAAGTACTGGTTATGAAAACACAATATAAGTAGGACAGATAAGATTTGATCTGTGAATAGAGTCCTTTGTGTAACCTAGAGTATTTGGAGTGCAATGACCCTGACAGGGTTGGGGGAATGGCTGACCAGAGAACCATCTGGTAAATAACAGATTTTGGACAAAACCAAGATGAGAAAATTTTGCATAAGCAAAATCGGAAATGATATTTTTTTAAATTAATGAACATGAGTTAAGCCACGCAAAATGGTTGGGAGCTAGACTGGCCGAGGGGTAACAAAGGTGGCAGGCGCAGGTGAAATACTGAGGAAGGTGGAGGAGCCAATAAGAGGAGAAGGAAGTTATCAGGGCAGATGAATACCTGTGACTGCAGTCCATAGGAAAAGAGGATCTCCCTGATTTTGGAGATGTAATTAATTTTCCAGAGCCAAATGACAAAAGGGCTCTTGTTGGAAGATGGGAGAAACTCTGAGTCCCCTGTGTCATGCCCCATGCTGATTTTGGGTGAATGTCAATAAATGCGAGAAATTGAAGTGACCAAGACAGTTGTTGCAGACACTGAGATGAGAGACGACCACGTTCCCTGATATTATGTGACTGCCTGCCTGAAGAGAATCTCCAACATAAACCTTGTGCCAGACCTAACCAAACCAGCCGAAGTGTCATGTTCAACTTAAGAAGCAGGTTGGGTTGATAATTTTCTGCATGAGGAATTGACAAATTCTAATGTCAAGACTAATCAAGCACTGTACAAAAGAACGTATATAAAAGCATTTATTTTTATTCAAGCTATTTTTTTTTCTCATTTGCATCTTCATTTTGCCTGGACCAACTCAATATGATAATTCCTAATGATGATTCAATCTTTGCCAGACTTATGATCAAAACTAAACAAAATGTGGCATAAGATAAGGTTTGGATTGAAGCAATCAACTCATTGATCAGCCGTGGAGATTGGATATTTGAACGGGATCAGCTGAGAAGGAGGCAATATCCTCACATAATCATATGAGTTACATATATCCAAATTCAATAGGCACCAAATTATAATATAGTACATTCTTATGGTATGTTAGGTTGCAACATTCAATCATGTTATCCTATGTTTTGAACTAAGGCAAGAAATAGTGATTAAAAAAACAACTTTTCAGTGAATATATTAGGAACAAAAAGGTTTGTCATGAGATGCTGGAAAAAAAAAAAAAAAAAAAAAAGTATTCAGTTTGTTTTGAGGTTTTTGTAGCAAAAACATCAAATAGTTTATCAAGCAGATATACCAACTGAGCCAGGGTTCTCATTATGCAGCTGTCAGGGAAACCAAGAGTCCCAATTAACATGCAGAACAATATAAATGGGTGACTGAGAGGCCAGAGTACCCATCTTTTTAAAACAGAATATGCATTCTGTAAATAAAAGGGCTCTGAAAATTCTAAAAAAAAACTCCAAAGAGAATTTTTGAAACACCTGGGAAAATTCTAAATATTGAAAACAGGATCTGTATATTTTTAGGTATAAAATCTGTTTGCTTTCTTTTTCACTGGCTCACTTTTTATAGAATTTTTATTTATTCTCTTCCCTGAGCTCTTTAAAGTATCATCATATTACTCCACCAACTGCAGGCTTAAATTTAGATAGGTATAATTTTTTAACTTACCAAAAATCCATTTGGTATTTCTCAACATGGCTCCACGCAATAACAGTTGGTCTGGTCCCAGTGGAATTGCCCTGTAAAATATCATTAAGAATAGATTGCAGATTGATATTAATAAAAAAAAAAGAAAAATCATCTGTAATGAATGTCTACACTTATTAATTAAAAAAGCCTTAATTATTGCAACAAAGTTAAAATATACATGAAAGTGTTAAAAATATGTAGATGATTAATATATGATCAAGAAAAAAAATCTAGTGAATTTTGTGTGACTCAAAGTGTTGTTCTTTATTCCTAAATGAATGTTTTATAATTATGAAATCATTTTATATCCTAAATACAAATGATTCTAAATGTTTTAAGGAACTTTGCATAAAAATAAAACTGACAATAACAGTTGAGCTAAACATTTAATTTGTATGCTTATATATTGGCAATAAGAATAAACAGATGACAAAAGAATATGAAGAAAAATCTCAATAGAAATGTTAAAATTATTCATGGTGCTAAAGCTGTTATCACATTAAGGATCTCATTGCAGATTATATATATATATATATATATATATATATATATATATAGCCCATATTTTCAAAGCAAATATGTTGACCAGTTACTATTTTAACACTCATAATGGCTGCAGCTTAGTGTAGTCTGTAGCAAAGTTGGTCCCCAGAATACTGACAGATTTCATGAAGGAGTAGGTTGTAGTTGTTGCTCAAGGGCCTTTTGGAGCAGCACAACACAGAACCTTCTTAAGACAGTCACAGGTAATGATACTTGGATTCAACATTATGAGCAAGAGAGCAAAAGAATATCAATAGAGTGGTACTATTTAAAAGGAAGTATAAAGCAGCACACACTGTAGGAAAAGTGATGACCACTGTATTTCGAGACCAGAAGGGATTACATACTGTTAGAGTCCATGTCAAACAGCACCACTAACAACCCTGAACACAAAATCAAAACTCTGAACATGGCTTCTTTGAACTAGGTCACATGTGAAGATGAGTAATAGACTTTTCGCAACATAAAAATGCAATGCCTCAGAGTAGCTTAAAGACTAGACAATCATAACACATGGTTGGACAATGTTGCCTCATCTATCATCTACAGTCCTAAACTGGCCCTCTTCAAACTTTCATCTATTTGGGCCCATGAACAGCGGTTCTTCAATGATGAACTGCACATGGCTAAAAATGAAGCTATAGTATACATGCTTTCATTCATGATTGAGGAAGGAGACTATGTTGAAAACTATATTTGGAATTCAGAAACTGCAATGTTCATTTTGGTATACTTTGTATGCTTCTATTAAATCAACTGTAATTAAAGAAGAACAGGTGTTATTTTTTAACCAACACTTACACATTAAAGTAAAAATAGATTAAGAGAAAACAGCTTTAAGTGACAATATATGGAAAGAGAGAGAGAGAGAGAGGGGGGGGAACAGGAATTCAAATACTGGATACTTTAAATAATTAAATAAAAACTGCAAGTGCACAAGTTAACTGGAATATAAATGTAATCAAACACAGCTTCAAAGAAATTACTTAATTTGTGGAAAGATAGTAATAACACTGAGATCAGATTTTACAAGCTAGTGAGGAGTAATCAGTTGTTCTTTCTTCTACTCTTTGAACATCCATTTTAATTGCAAACTATCATCGTTAAAACTAATCATCAATAGTAATAGCATTTGTGCTTTGTTTGAGATTTTGTTAACCACCATTACTCTTCATATCAAACATTCTTCATACTGAAACAAAAAGATCACTATATGTTTCATATCAATAAATCTATTCTGTCTTAATTATTCTATAAAATTATCTGTTGATAGAAACCATTTTTCATCAGGACATTTTCCATAATTTTTTAAAATAAATTAAAAAAGAAATTAAATTGATTAAATTCAAGATTCTTTGCACTATTTTCAACTATAAAGTACTTTAAAATATACTATGCTTATACTTTTCAAAATGAAGTATCATTAGACTTGATTACATATGCATGAAAGATACACTATTTTGAAATAACTGATCTAATTCTGATGAAACTTGTAGATGAGAAATTTTGAAAAAAGTTTTTTCCTTTGTTATGCATGAAAATGTAAATATCAAAATATACAAACAGGACTTTTTATGTGAGTCTGTGAAGATTACTTATAGACTGTGTGAATTAAAATACTGTAAAACAAGAAAAAAGTTGAATTTAGTACAATATTCTCAATTTGGATAAAAAAAAAAGTGTATCAGATTATAATCTCAAAATTAAAATTTTTTTTTTTTATTTTACAGTTGATTTATTATTTATTAGTAAAAATATAGTAACTAAGTTTCTTGAATAAGTTACTTATTCAAGTTTGTTAACTCCTGTACCAAACTATTTATTCACTAATGTCACAGCAATATTTAAACTTGGATTTTAACACAAGATTTATATTCATGAATTTTCAATTTTAAAAAGGTGAAAAAAAAAATTATCAAGCTTTTGAAAAAATGAAAAACAAAAAAACATTAGGAAAAAGTGGCAAACTTACTGCCTGCCAGAAGGCCGAATGTTTCCAGCAAAATCATAGAGGAAACGATTTGGTGTTTCACATTCTACGGTGCCACTGATTTCCATCAGGTCTTGATGTGTCAGTAACCTGGATGTTTGCGGCACACCCTGTGGGAAAAATAAAATCTTTTTGTTACAATTTAAAACAAGAAAAAAAATATGATATTGAAAATGAAATGAAAGCTATGAAAAATTGCAATTATAGGAAGACAATTGTATTAATAAAACATACATAATAGCATCAACTTGAAACATAATATACAAAAATTTTAGTTGAGAAGAGTCATTGATATTGGATTAGTTAAAAGCGTACTTATTAGTATTTCAGTCTAAGTCAGAACTTAGATATATTTTAAAGTAATCTTCTATAAATAAGTCAATTAAGATACTTAAATTTAGAATATATCAAGACTCTTAACTAACCTTTTTCATCACTGTCCCAGAACCATAAAAAAAAAAAAATATCTCCCCCTTATCAACTGCCTCAAAGTCAATTTTTTAACTTTTTTATTAATTGTTAGTACCATAATAATAAAAAAACATGAAAATATTTAAGAAATAAATTAAAACAGCTAAAATATTAATGTTTTAAAAATGAACATTAAAAAAAGAAAGGAAAAAAAAGAAGTTAAATTTTACTGTAATTTTTATAAAAATTACAACTTTATTTAAATATTTTGGTTAAATCACCTTGAATAATTTTACATGGAACTATTCTTATTAATTCATTTTCATGCTCAGATTAAATGTTACCATGCTTTAAGAATTTAATTTATTTTTCTATATAAAAGGATACAGCATATTCTCAATCAAAAAAAGTTCATGAGTCTTTATTAAAAACATTCCATTTACAATTATCAGTCTTGTCCTGTGACTAAATTGTTTAACATTTTTTAAATCCTCCCTTCTATTTCCAAATTTAGTTTATGATAAGCAAAAAAAAAAAAAGTTTGTTAATGGTTTATTCAAGTTTTTGTTTTTTTAAACCAAAAATTAAAAAAAAATTCCTTGCTTTGTTTATTAAAGCAAAATTAGTTCTTACAATATTAATGTTTTTAACATTTATCTAAATTTAAGCCCTTCAACTTTTATTTTTCATTTGAATTTAATTTATCAACTGCTTAATTTGTTTTTTGTTTGTTTTTATGTGTGCTTATTAAAATATCACCACTCTTACCGAGAAATAAGTTTTTATTTTTATTTATGATTAAGTTAATTGCATTTAGAATAAATATAATTTTAATTAAGCATTTTTGTATTGTCTCAGAAAGTTGAAATGTTACAGCCATGTCATAAAAGCCAACAATCTTTCCACTGCTATCCTACAAGTTACCATGTCAGGCAAAAGAAGCAGGTAGGAAAATAAATGAACTGACATCACTGAATGAACGGGAATATCCTATATAGAGAGTTAGACATTGGTACAGAATTAAGACACATGAAGAGTGAAGATCAGGGGCTAAGCTGTGCAGTGGTCCTATGACTACACCTGGTTTTGGGACTGTGTGTGTGTGTGTGTGTGTGTGTCTGTCTGTGTATATATAAGTGAATGACGAAATGGACAATTCCATAGTGACGCATTTCAATTCAAGATTAGTAATTTGAAGTTCCTTCTTGAAATGAAATGCATCACTAAGGATTTTTCATTTGCTTACATATTTAAATTTATAACTTTAAATCATTTTTTTTTAAAGTATAATTCATTATGATGCTTTGGAATGAAAATTAAGCCAATTAAATTTCATAGTTTACACTCCAGTAATGTTATATGAAATGCCAATTTTTTTTATTTACATTTAGAGCTTATTTGAAATCTTGATATTTATGGAGGAAAATAAAAGAGAATAACTCAATTTTCATGGAGTTTTATAGCCAATGGAATCATTTTACATTAGGTGAATATTTTTCAACATAATTATTATGTTAGTGTTTATAACTAGACAAAATTTAAATTATTCCAATGGAAAAATAACTAATATAATGAATATATTGTAAAATATTAATTTAGTATGAGATGATTCAGTTGGCTATGAACCCAGTCAAAACTGAGTTAATCCTTCTTAATCACGAGATCCATAAAAAAGTGTTTTTATGTATGTGATAAAAAGTTGCAGTAATGTAACTATCAGTATATAATATAAAGTATTTTTATTAAATGTTTTTCTGGTACATTCACATCTCTATAAGCCATGAAATTCTAAGTTTAATTTCCTTTTAAAGTGAAAATTAGAAATTAATAAAAAATGTTTTTATTATAAAAAAAAACCCCAAAAACCTGCCTTTTTATGAAAGACAAAAGAACATAGATACACAGACAGCTTTCACATGTCACATATTAGTATAGATGAGGAATTCTCTGGTTCATGCTAGTAGCATTTATATAAACTAGGTATCTCTATAGATTTGCTAAAAAATGAGGATACCATGATGAAAAATGCCCCAAACTTAATAAGAACAGTTTTATGAAAATTTTTATTATTAAGAGGAAAAAAAAAACAAATGATTTTTTTAGATTATTAAATTATATTTTTTGATCCATTTTAGAACATTTGCAATTTTGGTTAAAATTCTTTTTTTTTTTTTTTTTGATTTGGAAATTCTTGCAAAAATCAATTTTTAATGAAACTTAAGACTTATTTTTAGCAATTTAAAACAAACAAAAAATTCCTTTCAGTCAATTTAGTTTTGAAATACAGTTAAAGTATTTTGCTTATTGGAAAAATTAAATTTAATCTATTAGTGTGAAATTAAAACTAAAATAAAAGCATCAAGAAAGATTTTTCATTTTTAAAAATTCATTTTAATTCTTAGGTATCACATTTATTTGGAGGTACCTATACAAAATATGTTTTACTGTATGTATTTATCTGTATAAATTTTGTTTATTCTACAAAACTTTGTGTTTTAAATGACCTGTAGACCAGAACTGTGATTTAGGCCAACTGCTTAGTGTATTTATCTAACTTCATGGATGATATTCATAATGACAAAAACTAAGCTGAAGATTAGCAATTCTCAAAAATATCTTTTTTTTTTTTAAATATTTTTATCATGTATGAAGAGAAGTTACAAAAAAATTAAACAGCACAAACTTAATGAACACACATTTAATTTTAGTGTATAATACTACATTCACTTTGCAGAAAAATTTGTCTCTTGTAAAAAGATATGACAGAAAAATGAAAACTAATTATCATGAGGCTAAAATTTCTGGTTGGTTAAGAGGGTAAACATGATACTCTCTACCATGAAATTATATCCATCAGTCATATACATACACACAGGATTTACTTCAACTGTTTCATGTGTTTATTAGACAGTCTTGAGCAAGTGAGACTACTGTATGTAGCTATTATTTTGTTTGTACAAAATTATCAAAATATTACATGTTTGATGTAAACTTCCAGTAGAGTTTGAATCATTTTACAAATTTTATATTTGTACACCTGTTATCATTATTAAATTATAAGCTAATTAAGTTCAACTGAAATATATTCCAACTTTATTAATGTACCAACATGTTAAACAGACAATCTTAAAAAATATCAATCTAAAAGGCTTTTGTAACTTAATTTACTCAGTAGTACTACTGGCAATATAATGAATCTATTCTATAATATAAAACTGATTTTATGTATTTATCTCTTCATGCAACCTGATTTGCATATTATTTTTTACAAATTTGCAGCATAAACTTGCATACTAATGAAATATTCTGATGTTATGGTAACATCTATTACTGTAACAGTCGAATGCCTTATGCTGCAAATTTGTTGCTTTTATTAATTTTCTTTGGATTTTTACTCACGATTTAAAAGAGCAGAAAACTTTCTGCATACAAGAATATAGTTAATTGGAGAGATAAAAATGGCAGATTACTCAAATAGAAAATATAAGTAATACAATTACAAAATTAAATATTGCAGCCATTTTTGTTAGTATGAATAAACTAGTATTACAATTTTTAAATTAAAATCAAACCAGAATTTCTGCAATATACAGAGGAAAAGCTATAGACAAACTAATTAAAACAAATTTTTGATGAAAAAATGTAATTACTATTTTTAATATTTTGTATAAGCAGCTTATAAAGAAAAAATGATCTCCCACATTTTATTGAATTTGATGACAAAATGTTACATGAAAAATCATGAGGAATGTCTAAGAAAGTTTGAAAAATTTTACCTGTCGAATTTTCAAGTTGGTCTCTCCATCCAGGTTAGAGGTTTCTATGTAACACATACCTTGAGGTTCACTTGAGTGAGAAAGAAAGAAAAAAGAAAGGAAAAAAAAAACAAGGAGTGAAAAATTAACTAGACAAAATTTTAGAAAAACACTTAATGGGTAACAACAATATTAATGCATAAAAATTGCAACTTTAAAAGTGTTTGCAATTAATCATATTTGGTATCTGACAATTTTTAACTTTTTTTTTAAAAAAATCAAATAAAAATTTCAGTTCAGTTTTATCCATTTTTTTTTTAAAATTATTGGCACTAAACTAGTTTGAACAGAAGCTCATGAATTAATTTTACAAGTCTAAAGTGTTCTACAATGATAATTGCCAGGATTGTCAGAATTATTTAAACTAGTGTTTTGACTTTTGTTTTTACAGTTTAGCCTCACTTTACATGAAACATGGAGTGGAAAAGATCTAGAGAATTTGTGTTCTATTTAATATCAGTGTAGTATTTAAGAGTAAAATTACACCATGTAATTGTCTCACAAAGGTCAAACCTCTAGATGAGATAAATGTGACTAAGAACTGCATGTACAGTTGTGATAGGGAATATAAGAAAGAAACCAGATGTCCAGTAAAGATTAGATTTGAATATTGAAAATTCATGATCTAAGCTGATATCATGACATCAGGTATATAGACTAAAAAGGAATGCAATGTTCTATGTGGAATGAGGCTGAAACAAGAGATGGGTCCATAGTGAAAACTGCTGCTGGTGAAGAAGGTACCCCTTATGAATTTGTCAAAAGTAAGCCTGAAGACAGTCAAATGAAAAATGACGCCCAGGAATATATATATATATATATATATATATATATATAAGTGCTGGTGTTAATAAAACAGTGCTTGATGTAATATAACAGAGTTATTAAGCAAATATTAATAAATATACATCTTATTCCTCACCACTAGCATGAGTTTCATGCACAATGCAATCTTCAGGTGCTGAGTATGCACTGTTACATAATTTGAATTATAATATATCTGGTTATTACGATGTTGGCATAGTGATATATTATATGCTGGGATTACTGTTTTTTTTTTTTCATTTTAAAATTATACTTGGAAAGTAAAATAAGCGTGATTTATATATGTAAGCAAAAGAGAAAAATAATTATATAGTGGTGAATATTCATATTTTAATTTTTTAAAAAGTTTTAAAATTAAAAGAGATTACTTGTTCTTATTTAAGCAAAAAACATGAATATATATTTAATAGTAATATATTAAAAATAGGTTGTAATTAGCATGAAAAATTAAAAACTAAAATTTTTTTTTTAAATTAAAAAAAAATTAAAAAGATTAAAATTTAAAAAATTAAAAATATTTTTTTTTACAATTTCAAAAACAAAAAATTAATCTGGATCACTATATTCAAGCAGATATTTATTATTATGCCTACATCTAATCATCAATTCATTTCTCTTGTTTAATAAGTTAGGGCCATTTAAGTGTTTTAAGATAACCAGCTTTTCAACAAGACATAAATTGCATTTATTTCCTTTACTGCTATAAGCCTTAGATCTATATATATTTTTTTAAATTTAAAATAAAAAAATTTTAAATTTAAACTTTATCTTTAAATTATTTTTTCAATTTTTTATTATTTTTTAATGCTAATTATGGTTTATTTTTAATATTTTACTATTAAATACATATTCATGTTTTTTGCTTAAATAAAAACATGTAATCTCCCTTTAATTATATAACTAAAAAAATATTAAAATATGAACATTCACTACTCAAATATTTAATTTTCTTTTTTATATACATATATAAATCCTACTTATTTTAATTGACAAATATAAATCTTAAAATTAAAAAAAACTGTAATCCCAGCATATGTTACACCAACATTGTGATAACCAGATATATTGTAAATCAGATTGTAATGGTCAGTTCATATTCAGCACAAGATTGTGCCATGCATGAAACTCAGTTATTTATGAACGCAGCATTATCTTTTGACATTTTCGTTGACACTAAGCCATCATTTTACTAATTCACAATATCAAAAAAGATAAATTTGTTTCTTCTCAAATGCAAAAGTTAAGGCACTCATAAATATCAAATAGCTACTATATAAAACATGATTAATCATGCCAAAATAATTTCTTCTTTGGACACATTATTTTATAAAGAATTAAGCAACATAAAAACCTTTAAAAATTTCTCCAATCATGACAAGCAAATATAATTACTTAACGAAATTTAGAAAAGAAAAAAAAAAAAAAATCTTAATATAAAAAAACACCCCATTAAATAAGAGAAGCAATCATCCTGATATAAACAAAAAAACAAAACGAAAAACAATATTAACTTATTCTATTGTACCCAGATGAACCTTAAATATAAACAAGATGAAAAAGCAATTAAAAACATAATTTGCTACTACATATCACTTAATGATCCTAATACATTAGATTTATCATTTACAATAAAAAGTTTGACATTTAATTATTGGCAATAACTCAGGATTTCAAAAATCACCCTTATGTAAAAAGAATATTGTTTATGAATTCTCATGTATGTTAGATTACATCTACAATATCCGTAATCAAAAACCAATATTAAATTCTTACATTGGCTACACAGGCACCACACTTTCTTATGGTTGACTTGTCACTTGTTGAAACCTATTGTAATTTATACACATATCACTTAAAAAAAATAACCAAAATACAACTATCAACAACAAAATACACCACTCATGGCAAGGAAACTCAATATTCTAGAAGCTATTATTATATAAAAGTCACAAACCACATTAACTATCTTTTACAAGAGGAGACAGTATTTTGAAGTGTGTACAAAATATGTATAAATAGGATACATACTTTTCTAGTGTGGTCTAGCTCCATGTAACCGTTTTACACAACTTTAGGCTAAATCAAATACTAAGGTTTAAAAAAAATGTCTAGATATAACCAACAAAATTTTGTTTACTATAGTGACAACACCCAGTTTCTGATAAAGACTGAAATAGTCAAAAGTACTTGAACAAAAACTGAACTAAACACAAAGAAAGTTTATCCACAATTCTCACCCTTATGTACAGCATCTTATTCGAAATTATAAAAATACAATAAAAAAAAAAAATGAAACATAAATCATGTCAGTTGAATTAAAAACCTGCTTGAGTGTATTCAAAAGTATGTTTAACCAAAATGGATATTAACAAAAACATAGTCAGCTTCATTTTTAATGAATACAATTCAATGAGAAAGAAAGTTTTCAGTTGCACGTTTAAAGAAATCCGCACCCCCACCCTAAAAAATGTTAGAATATTTTCAACTTGTTTGTTTCTGAATGTTCTGCCACTTACATATTTTTCTAGTAATTAAAACAAATGAAAATTTGCAAGTGATAAGTCTAGGGAGCATGGAATATGTGGAAAATCTCCAATCCTAATGATTTTAAATTTTTTCTTGGGTTTGTTTTGCAGAGCATCCTCTTGAATTGTCAGGCTGGAGAATAATGTCTTTTCTATTTACCAATCCAGGACACTTCTGATGTAATGATTCATTTACCCAATCAAACAGATGGTTATAAATGTCTGCAATGATGGTCCTTCGATGTTCCAGTAGCTTGTAATAAAGGACACCTTTCATATTTCACCAGGCTTGTGTTTGGAGTTGGCACTGGTTTCTCATTTTATGCCAACCAAATTTTTGTTTTCTGTTGACATGTAAAAAACATTTTTTGTCACTTGTTATAATGCAATGCAAAAATGAAAGATTGACACTCCTGGTTAAAATACTGCTGGAGATGGTGGAATGCGGTGTTTGATTCTCAAGTGAAAGCTTGTGAGGAATCAAAGTTCCCTCTTTGTAATTTTTTCTTCAATTTGTTTGAGATCTTGGACAGCTGAATATGCCAAATTAATTATGGTTTTGTGCCAACTCTCTCGTGCTTTGACATGGATCCAATTCAACAGTCTCTTTCAAACATTCTTCATTGAGAGTTGATCATCTTCCAAAGTTAGTCTTGTTGGACATATTACAATTGGCATTTTTAAACCACAGCTGATATGTATGAGCCTTCACTATATCCATATGCACTACATGCATGTTTTAAATGCCTTTGTAGCAATGGAATTCATATAATAAGCAATGGCAAATGTTTTTTTAAAATCATGATCTTCCATGGGTTTAAACTCTGAAATGCACTATAAATGACACAATGTTAGCAAGAAGAGGTGCTAATTCTAGATGCAGTTTTGTACTATTCAATCTTTGCTGTGCATTGGTTGAATCACTCATAAATCACTAGAGTGTAATATGTAATTACTTCTGAACACCCTAATATATATAAGAAAATTTGTGGATATAGATCTGACAGCATGAAGAAAAATATGGAAAAACAAAAATCCGAATATGCAAGTATGCTGTTTTAATGTTGTTTCAATGTCGACATCAGATGTTTCGGTCTAGTAGACCTTCTTCAGGACATAGTTATTAAAACATAATTAAAATTAGATGATATTCAAGTCAACATGAAAAGGCGATAGACATAAGACTAATCAAAACAAAATAACTGAAAATTTTTTAAGATCATATTCTGTTTACGCAATATGATTACGTCAGTGTCACATTTTGATTCTGTGAAGATTCTAAAATATATTCATGTAAAAATGAAAGACGGATTCCTAAAATACTTTTAATATTTTTGAAATTAAAAAACGTATTTATTTTTTTTATTTAAATAAAATTTTTTTTCATTTAAAATATACGTATTTAAGAATCAATCTTCGCCCACGTGATCATATTGTAAACGGAACGCTGATCTTAAAAAAAATTTGTTATTCTGTTTTGATTAGTCTTATGTCTATTGTCTTTTCATGTTGACTTGAATATCGCCTAATTTTAATTATGTTTTAATAAAAATCCTGAAGAAGGTCTACTAGACCAAAACGTCTGATGTTGACATTGAAACAACATTAAAACAGCATACTTGCATATTTGGATTTTTGTTTTTCCATATTTTTTTCTCCATATAATTTTTACTTGTGTATTTTACCAACAATCCAACTTTCACATTTCATTCAACAAGACCAATAAATTACTTTTGTTTATTTATTTTTTTTTTGCATTCAGTCAAAGTGTTTTTTAATATTTTGTTCTAGTTTTAAATTTCAGTTTGTCTATCTTTTGTAGCAGCTGCTATTTGCCTTAAAATGGTCTGGACCAAAGACAAGAGAAAACAAAAACAAAAATATCTTACTAGTCTTGTTCACTATATATATATATATATATAAATAAATAAATAAATAAAAACATCATTTACTGGGCCAAAGTAATCTCTTCTTCAGACATTATTCTCTAAGGAACTTAGCAGCATCAAACAAATCATAATCAACAATAACTTCCCTAATCATGTCAGAAACAAATAAAATTAGCCTTAATGAAATTTAGAAAAAATAATGCAAGACCTCATCCTGATGCAAACAAAAACAAACACCATTAACTTATTTTAATCTAAGTAAATACACCCTAATTATAAATAGGATGAAAAAGCAACTAAAAACATAATTCACTGGTACATATCAATCAACAATCTTAAACACCTAAGATTTATCATCTAATATAAAAAATTTAAAACATCTAAATCTAAATTATTATCAACACCAGGTCTCAAAAATCCACCCTACCACTATGTAAAAATAATGTCTATTAATTTTCATGCTTCCTGAGAAATTACTTCTCCAATATCAATAATCAAAAAAAAAAAAAAAACATTAAATACTTACACCAGGCACATACATCACATTCTTTCACAGACTGACCCGTCACCAGTTGAAACTTAGAGCAATTTGTGTACACATTGACCAGCAGATCATGAACAACCAAAATAAAACTATCAACATAAGACATATTAGTGGACTCAAAACCAAGAAGCTATACAAAATATACAGCCCATATTAAATAAAATATTCACCACAGGAGATAGTGTCTTGAAGTGCGTATGATATAATTAATCTGTGTATATATTAGTACATAAAATACATAATTCACATTCTTTTGTCCAGCCTCATTCCCAATAGCTGTTACACGTGATGTCATGCTAGACCATTTCAAACTTTTAGCTTTTCAAAGAATACCAGAATGTGGAAAAAGGAATTCTGTTGCCTACCACACAGACATGGCATTGGTTCTTGATAATGACTGCAATGTCAAAATATGAACTTTGGACAGTTTATTCACAAAAATTAGAAAAACATAAAAAAAATTAAACAGATGGATTTGTTGAATCTTTTTTTTAATCAAACATGTTTGGATGAATACTTGCTGCATACATACACATATATATATACACACACAGTGTATGAAAAATACTTTTACAAATTTTGGAGCAGGTTCCTCACACCAAAACAAAGACAAAAGTCCATATAAACATATGTCCACAAATCCTTCATTTTTGAATTATTAAGTTTAAAGAAAGTTTATGGTAGATGGTGCTGTGTTGCCATGTAGATTAGATTACATTTGTCATTCGTGTACATACGGTGGTGCGAATGGTAATGGATGCGATCCACTGTTTGTCTCTTCAGTCTTGTTTACGGATGAGGCAACGTTGGAAGTGATGGAATAACAAATTTACACAACCAACATTTGTGGGCAGATCAGAATCCCCATGGTACAATGCAAGCTAGACACCAGCATCAGCATCAGTTTAGGATTAATGTGTGGGCCGGAATTATAGGTGACTGTCTGGTAGGTCCATATGTTCTCCCAGAACATCTTACAGGAACTGTCTACAAAAACTTTATTTCAAACACACTTCAAGACCTACTAATATGAAGATGCATGTGGATCATGTGTGAAGGGTACTAGCAGATTTTAGTCACATTGTTTGCAATGCACTGACTGACATCCACCATGAAAGATGGATAAGTAGGGGAGGACCAGTTCCATGGCCTGCATGCTCCTTGACCTCAATCTTTTTGATTTTTATCTGTGGGGCCACCTAAAACAATTGGTTTATGCAGCAGACATTAATAATGCAGAGACGCTTCATGAATGTGTCATGGGGGCCTGTGAATGCATTGAACACTGTGCGAATATTTGAAAAGGTCTGCTAGTCAATGATCCGATGTGCATACATGTGTAAAAGCAAATGAAGGACATTTTGAACATTTGTTATGAGTTGATGTGTTGAGGTACAATAATGGCCTTTTGGACATATAGTTATATGGATATTTTACCTTTTTTGGTGTCAGGAACCCACCCCCGAAGTTTGTAAAAGTATCTTGGATTGTACATTTAAAAGCATCGTTAACCAAATATATCCCTAATCAGATTTTAAGCTTAGATAATATTGTAAAATGATTTTGTATTTAGTGCCTATTATGAAAGTTGGTCAGTAAAGTTTTTAATACATTTTATCTCTAATTAAAGAAAAATTGAATACTGTTTAGTTTTATTGTAGCAATATGAGAAAATAAAAGTGGATAGGAGACATTTTTTTAATTATACAAATCATGAGTAAATTATAAAACAAGCCTATCCTAAGTCTATTCACACCAGAGTATTTTGAATGTGATTGCTATATGAAGGACAAGTATGACAGTAGGATTAGTACACAGAGCGAAAGAGTAAGTTAATTAATGAAAATGATGTGGAGGTGAAAAAGGAAATCGGTTTATTTGCAGGAGCTAAAATTACTTTCACCTATTTGTGATGGACAAAATCAATAGGTTAAGCTTTTTTTTAAATAAGTCTTTTATAAAAATTAATAGGATTAAAAAAGAATTTCAATATTATCACTTTCAAGAAAATCATCATCAATGTAATAAACAAAATTTTATAAACATCTATTTTAGTTGCAGGTTTTTATAATAGTATCAAACTGTAAAGAAGTCACAAGAAACAATATTTTTTTATAGTAAAAGTTTGTGAATTAAATATTGTTCCACTTAAGGCCAAAAGCTCAGTTTCTTTTTGAAAAGAATATTTTATACAACTGCTTTTAGTTTAATAAATTTTATTTAAATGTAGCAGTTCTTGAAGAAACATTAATAGAAATAACAGAATAAATGATGTTAATAATTGCAACAGCAAAAGGAATATTAGGACTTTACTAAACTTTATGAAAATAATGAATTATGTAAGAGCTTTTGCTTTCCTAAGAGATCAACTTACCTGGAAGATAATAATACCAGGTCAGCTGGAAAGAACTTGCTGCTTGTTATCTTCACCAGATCACCCACTGCTACGTCAATCCACTTAACTGGAAGCCAGTCCCCATTTTTTAACACTATAATTGAAAAGAAAAGTTAAAACTTTAGTACATTATGACTTTCCAATGAGAACAGTTTTCCACCTCCTTTTTAACCAATACTTTCAAATTGTATTTATGCCTGTTTAATTTTATATTTGTTTGCAAAAAAGTTATTAAAAAAAAGGGGAATATTTCCATTTCAGATAAAAAATATATCTGCTTAAAACAATTACTGATATGTTTTCTATAGCAGTGAAAGTGTTTATGTGAAAATCAAAAAGCCACTTAAAATACAATGAAAATATTTTATTAAGAGTTTGGAGTTGAAATATATGACTTTTTTAAATTAGTTACCTACTTTATTTAGTAAATAAAAAAGTGATGTATATATTTGTGGAACCAAGATGAATATTCCAGATGAAGTTAGTTAAGTATCAATTACTTTATATTTAGAGTAAAAACACTTGCAATATCAATAATTAGATAATACATTTAATAGTAAACTATTCAGATTTTTAAGAAAATAGTGAATATAAAAAGGATTACTATTATAACATTCAAAAGCAATTATTGACATTTTGCTGATTAAATCAAACTGAAAAATAAATCTATTGTTTTAGATTAGTACAAGATTAAATATGACTTTATTATAAAAATTAAAAATATCTATAATGATATCCATCATGAAGGAATAGATTTTATATATGAGTAGCACATCCTAAGGAAAATATATCTATTATAAATGATGCATTACAGTAGTAAATATCAAAGTAAACTAATGACTAAATAAATATTTTGTATATACCAGCAGATTAAAATATTCTTAACAGATTAAGAAAGTACCAGTGACAGCCAAACTTAAATAAATAAAAGTAAAAAGTTCAACATATTGACCATAGCCAAATGAACATAATCTTTTTTGCATTACACTATTAAATGTCACTTACAATCTATGTTCAAGAACTAAATATGGTAAATAAATATGGTATTGGTCAACTTGGAGAAACAACTTATTTTCATAATAGCAATAAAAGGAGAATTAATGAAAACAAAAGTAACAAATTCCAAAAATGTAGTTCTTTGACAGCACAGTGAAGTTTGAATAATGCGGAACAGATATATCTTTAAGAAAGTGCTGAAATTTATTCAGTCTGTCTTACACTCCAAAATCTGACCAAATATAAGATTTTTTTGAAGGGCTTCTTGGTCAAGCTGAAAACTTTTCAACATCTCCCTATAGAATTTCATAAATATAGAGTAAGTGTGAAACAATAAAAATTGGACTTGTCACATTTAAATATTATATAGAGAAACATGATGCAAATAAACTAAATGGGGTTGATGTATGCTTGTAAATCCAAATCTCTTATCTTAATTGAGTATGTGGTCTCACATATAGCTTAATTTGTGGTAATTTTGACTACACTACAAATGATAAAAGAACATTAAAATGAGGATAGCATTCTTAAGCAATACTATTTAATTTTAGTGCAAATTTAGATATCTCTTAAGGCAAATATCATCAGATATGAAAAACAGTCACCTATTATAGATAAAAAGAAAAAAATATTAAACTATTAAACCATTTTTAGTTTTATTTAAACATTAGAAATTATTTTTTTTTACCCATTTACCATTGAAGTAGAATCCCCACCCAGGACTGTACACTTTGATATTTTGTCTGGTGGTGGTCATGGGGAAGCTACATGAAGATAATAAATACAAATAGTAAAGTGCTTCATTTACCATTAATCATGTAAAATAACTGACATATATTTAAATTGTAATAAAAGTAATAAAAAATAATTTTCAAAGAAATTAAAAATATACAAAATTAAAGCCTGTAGTTAGAAGACATTTTTTTTGCAGACATAACTTGGAATACAGGTAAACCTTACAAATTTTTTTAAAACTTATTATTTAATAGGATTACATAAATTTCAAATTAAAAAAAGTTGAGCATACCCAAGACTTCTCGATTGTTAACACCTTCATCAGCTCTATGACGTTTCTGAAAAGATTTTTTTTTAAATGGGTCAAATCAAGATATACATAATGTTAGAGTTTATTCTGAAAGTCAATGTCATTACAAAATTTTATTAACCACAAGGTGTTGGCAAATGTTTCAAGATATAATTATATTATAAAACACACACACAAATAACTTATCTTATTTGGTGGTGTGAGATTTCATTATGCACTTGATTGTTGTCATTGGAAATATATATATATATAAGTATAAATTGATATTTTTTAAATTTCAGATACATAAAGATTGCCATCATAGATTGCAAGAAAAAATATAACCTCAAAAGAGTAACAAGATGCTACAATGTTATTAAGTGATGGGAACACATCAATAATTGCAAGATTACAAAACAATCAAAAATGAAATTGAAAACATTGGCACTCTAAGAACAAGAATTAAAAAAGTAATAAGTAAATGGATTGACCAGTAAGAAAATATTTGAAGATAGTATTGCAGATGTAATGTGAGAAAAAATGTAGAATATTGAGAACATTGGCTAAAAATAAAAAAATAAAAAAGAAACTATCACCTTTCAGCAAATATCACAAAAGGAAATGTGTAAATTGAGCAAAGAAGTATATGAAAACTAATTTCTTAATAGTGATTTTTAGGTGGAGTAATATCTTTGGCTAGTATAGTAGGCAGTAAAATTATAGGTCCCTGTAAAGTTGATGATGGTGTCAAGAATTATTGTAAGTTCTTGAATGGAATGTTTTTAGAGCAATACAGATCACAGCCAGGATGCTTGAAGTTAAAGTGTATATTCATGTAATAACAATACTCCATTAAATTCGCAAAGCTGAACTATTGCTCATCTTAAAAAAAAAAAATTTTTTTTTCAAAGACATCAATTAATGGAATGGCCATCAGTCTCTCCGGATATTAATCCAACAGAAAACTTGTGGTCTATCATTGAGATATACACAAGGATGGAAAAAATATTCAAGTAAGGAAAATCTCTCTGAAGCAATAAAAAACTGCAGCATATTAAAGTGCACAGCAGTATAAAGTTAAAATCATTGGTTGAAAGACTTATGAAGGTTTAGTTCAGTTATGTGCCATGTGTGATACATGCTTAGGCGATCATGTATCTTTCGATATATGACTGACAAGGCAGATTTTTTCCCACAGTAGGTTGCTATTTCTTTCTGCGGTAGACCAGTTTCCATCCAAGGTTATGGAACCTAGTCTGTCCTGGGTGGGAAGAAGAGAATTCATACCTTTCCTAAGGGTATTAGCACATAAGTGAATGTAACAGATTTGACTGGAATTTGAACTTGGGTCTAAGATTCCTCAATCCAAGTCACAATCCATTACTCCACATAATATTTCAACTCTTGTGAGTATTGAAACATAATAGGTTGAAATGTTAAACCCATTAATAATAATAAACAAGTTAAGCTCATTATATATTATAAAAAATTTAAAACAATTGACTTCATAGTCTCTAATAATAACCCTACAACCACACAACTAAAACCTCTACAAAAAAACAAAAAACAAAAAAAAAACAATGTAGCGTATCAATTTACATGCCCATTCAGAAATTGTATCTCTGATACTAATAATAAAGACTACAACCACGCTCTCCTGTAGACTTACCTGTCACCTTTCTTAGTACTATTAAACAACATTTCTTAGAAAAACATAGCCATGTACATAATATTAGACAGATATTAGTTGATAACACAACAATACTCACACATAGACACAGCAAAAAGAACCTTCAGATATTGGAGGCCATCTACATTAAAACAAAGCAACCTAAACTCAACAAAATTACATTTCAAACTAGTCACAACACATTACATTGCATCTAGACATATGGTTCTGTAGTTAATATTTCGGTCTCTCACATGGTACAATGTCATAGAACTGAATTTATGACCTGCGCCTGCTATTCCATGACCATTATCATCTTATAGCAATCTTCTATGTCAGCATAACAGAATATCATCTTTGATGGTGAATATCTTTGTTTAAAATGTCTGTATAACCACTCTGAAGATGGCTCATGTGAGCCAAAAGCTTAGATCAAGGAACAGCTCAATAAAAAAAATATCCAAATGTTGGACAATTTTGTCTTTATTTTCACCTGAAATTAAACCAACCATATGCAGTTTAGAACGGCTCATGATCAAGCATGATAAACATTCATTGTCTGTTATATTTAACTATATATATATATATATATATATAAAATCTATAACTGAATTTTGAATATATTTAGCTTGCCTTGTTCATACAGCAGACACGAGTAGTATTTTTCATATACTTTTCAGTTTTTGTCGATCATAGCCCATTAGTGTTTCAGTTTCCACAAAAAAGTTTTCTAGCCATAATTGACTGAAGCAATTTTAGACCAACTTTTCTTTTTTTAATACCTTGCAAGCAAGGTTTGAAACTAGTTATCAATTCTCAACCAATTAGTGGACTTTTTGAATGATTATCAATTTTGTATTGAAAAAGCAGTTATTCATAGTATTTAAACCAGAAAAATATCTATATTTAATATACTTGTATTAAAATTTGCTGAACATACCTGTCGACATACAACTTTCAATTTTAGGATTTTGTTCACAATGTTTTATATAAAACATACACAACTTTTCATCAACCAGGATATATCAAACAGTTGCAATTCTTTATGAGTGACTTTTTTTTCTATGAATGATTTCATGTATACATTTTACTTATCAAACATAAATACTACCTCAACAAGTAGCATTAACAGTAAAATCTTTAGTATATCTTTCTTAACTGTAAAGATAATCTATTTTTTAAAATCTAATTACCAATAAATGGAAAATATAACAATGCAGGACTCCAAACAATTTATCTGGACTTTCTGAGTGCCTCAAGGATGCTATGTTCATGTCAAAAATAAAAATAAAAATGTACATGAAAAAGATTAAGATTCCTTTCATACACTTTCCCCAATTTAGCCAAGATCAATATTTTGCTCTTTTAAAACCCTAATTTTTGTAGTCGGACTTGCTCAGCTACACCAAGATTGAATCTACTATATTTGCACTTGTGAAGTGACTTATTATCAACTACTACAATTATATTGGATTATATCCAAAACAGAGTGGCCAGGCTGATCAATTACCATATCCATAAATATTGTCAACTGCTTGCACATTGCCATGTAGTATAATAAACATAATATCTATCTTCTAACTGTGAGTAAGCCTTTCTTGCTTTTTAGCTTTGACCCGTTATCTATTTTAATAATGACAATAATATAAAATGCAAATTCATAAATTTTCTCTAGTAAACTTAATTTTCATTTTGTAAAAAGAAAAACCTGAACGCTACATTTGAGAAGAATATTTGCAACAAAGTTTGAATCAACTTATGCTAAATCAAGTCACATAAAAAAATTTCAAATTCAACAAAGTATAGACCATTATGAGAAACAAAACATCTTTATGCTGTAAAGATACATCAAGTTTATCACTGATAAAATTCCAGAGCAAGATTTAAAAAATATACAAAAATTAATATTACAGTCTAAAAAAAAAAAAGTCCTTTAAATATTAGTCAAAGAATCCTATTGTGGCTTTAATAATAACTACTGTAATAGTTGATTTTTATCTGGAAAAATGAATGTGGTACAAAAGAAAAGAAAAAAGGAACCTCGCAATATCACTTAATTGTAGAGCCAAAAAAGAATGTTTTATATAAATTGAAAATATTTTGAACATGCGATAATAATAATATATTAACAGTACATCTATTTCTCTAAACAGATTTGTAACTGCAACAGAAATTTTTTCATTCAAGAGATATCAAATAAAATGTTTAAAGAAGTATATATATATATATATATATATATATATATATATATATATATATATATATATATATATGATAAAATAGACAATTGGAAAACAGTATTAGTGATGATAAAAAGCAAAATGTTGTAGACTTAGTTGAAAATCAAAAAATTTAAAAGACGCTCATGTTTATCATCACTTGCCTTGATAAAGTCAGATGATAAAAGGTGTTGGCAAGGATAAAGTAGTTTTCTGTCTATTTTATTCAATTTGTCTTTTCTGCAGATATATTCTGAGAACTACACACACACACCTATATCTATAATTCTCAAAATGTGTGTGTATGTGTGATCAGATATTGTTTATGTGTTTCCACAGTTTTCATCAGATTTCAATGAAATTTTTTTTGTTTGATAGATAATTCTTCAGTGTCGATTCTGAGTCCAAATTGTTGGTGACAATCGCTTTCCACTACATCCTGTCCATTATAACTCTCTGCAATGTTTTATTATTTACTATCTGTTCTTCAATATATATCTTTCATAAAAACTTTAATAAAAATAAATAGTTTAAATTATTACAGTAATATATCTATAATCCTCAAAATATGTGTGTATGTATGTGCGTGGGTGAGATCAGGTGTTGTTTATGCGTTTCCATAGACTTCATCAGATTTCTATGAAATTTTTTTTTGTTTGATAGATAATTCTTAAGTGCTGGTTTTGAGTCCAAATTAGTTGGAAAAAATTACAAACTTACAGGTGAAAAAAAAGAAGAAGATTTTTTTACACTTTGCGCAAAAATCAAAGGCAAAATTTAATTTACTTTTTCACACATAACCTTCCAATCCGAGCTCATACTGTGTGGGCATGATTTACACCTCAACATGTTGCCAATCAGTTGCTGGTGACCTTGATAATTAATGTGTGCAGCAACGCGTGTACATGTGGGCCTGCAACACACGCTGTGGAACACAACACCTGTTCAAGCTGCCCATTCGCTGCATGAAGCCCCTTTACACGTCCAATCAAATGTCGCATTTCATACTGATTTTCTACACATTCCTAAGTTCATTGCTACCGCGTAATTCCACTTCTACTTCCATATGTCCAGCTCTGCTTACACATTCCCCTTCTCTTGGCCAAGAATTCAATCTCTCTCAAGTGAGGTTATATTTGCCATTGCATAAAGCCTACTAGTACAGGTTTAAAGTGTTGCTTTCATTGTTGTTTATAGACATTCCTAATTTAAATTTTTTATTGTCCTGCCAGTTTTTGCTTTGCATTCACTGTAGTAATAAGATTGCTTTTTTATTACTCAACATTTATTTTTCTAATCTTTCCTAAAGATATTCCAGCTTAGTGATCCCTGTAGGTTTACAGCGTTCTCTTCTGGTATTTACCCATGCATTCCATTTGACAATTCATACTTGCCTAAGACATGCCACCAAAGAAAAGAACTCGCCTAGGTCGCAAAAACCACTGCCGCCAGGTCCGCCATACAAATAAGAGATAACGAATCGTCTTTAGAACGTTCAGTTTGCCTGTCTCAAAATGCCTCTTGGAATGCTTCAATCAGAGTCACAAAGTCCGAAGATCAACATAGTCATCAGCTTTCCAGAAAAGCATGCCTGAACACTTCTATGCATGAGGCTGAAAATGATGATCAAAGGACTCAGTGGCTGAGGAGAAACGCCTCTTCAACTGCTGCTGTGAGTGAGACTGAAACAAGATTGAGAACGCAAAAATGGTCCTTTTCAGGGCCACCCCACTTCAAACTGTTAATCCCTATTTGGGGATGTGCCTCAGTTGCATCCAACTGTTGTTACTAACACTGATTTTTGGGTGGGCTGACTTTAAACTTAAACTGCTCCAGTTGAGCAGCAAAAATTTCCAGTAATGAAAGACCCGATCAAAGAATGGTTACACTGCTAGTCTATATAATAAATGCGAATGTCAGTAGGCCACACTTTTTCAACTTTACTCCTAGAGGCCGTAGCCCAACATACCATACTATTTTAGAATCAGGTTGACTCAGTGAGCAAATTAAAAACATTCTGGACCGGACCCAGACCGGCAATCATGAAATTTGGGATTCTGAAGTTTTCATTATTGGGATTGTTTTCAACAAATTTTGCAAGAAATTCTTTTTGTACAATAATTTTTATAACTTGGAAATTAATTTTGGAAATAATCAAAATTGCAAAATCAAGCGAAAGTCACCCATGAAATAAAAATAATTGTTTGTACAAAAAGTAAGGACCTACGTACATCAAATTGTCTTTAAATTAATTGGCAGCAGAAAAATTATTGTTGAACTTTTAAAAATATTAATGCAATACTTAAATGCAGCAATTAATTTTGAGTTCTTTTATTTATTGTTGCCTATTGCATCTACTCCTCCCTACCTATTGTGATGAGGGCCTAATAAAGAGCCCTCCACAGGAGCTAGCTTAAATACTGTCCGATAGCCAAAAGCCAAATTAATTTTTTTGATTTGTATTTTTGCAGTCTAATCACAATCATAGAAAGTGAATACAAAATGATACTTGGAAGAATATTTCTAAGATGATTTCTAATGCAACAGGGTACTAACCTTGTTGAAACTTTTAAATGCATGAAATTACAGGATGATGATTTGGTGAGACTACTAATTGGGTGATGATTGTTGAAATTCTCAGGAAATTCTAGGTTGAATAGTTAAGAAAATTAAAATTGAAATGCATTAAAAATTATGTTTTAAAATAGTATAATGAAATTAAGTTTCAAGGAGAGTTGAAGACAATTTAACTAGATGGAATTCAGTATGATTGAGCAAAACCAAGACTATCAATATTTCCCCCAATTCCTGCCGATAAAAAAAAGAGATGATTAATTTATCGTTCAAATTCTTGGGTCCTGAGAAAATAGAAAATAAAAAGACATTTACAATACCTTATTAGTAGAGAAAACAGGTGATCACTGAAAATAATGATCTAAAATTATTCTGGACAAAGGGCCAGGGAACATCTGGTTTATGTAGAAAGATTGTGCCAACCATGTAGTTCTAGAGAGCAAAACAAATTTGTTTCTCTTCCTTTCTCACATGCTTTCCTTCATTCTTCCTCTTTCAGTGTGCTTCATTTGTATGGCCATCTGTCAAGTTGCTAGATACTTGATCAAACTTTTCTACCCACAAGTCCATGTTATTTTTTACCATCCATTATAATTATGGGTAAGGCAGGTAGCATCCATTACGACAATTCTTTTACAGACCACCCAGAAAAAAAAAATACTTGCTAAAAGATTAACAAGACTTGGAATGCACAAGGGAAATAACATAATGCCTAAGATTATGAACAGGACTATCTTTCTTTTGTGACATTTGCCTAAAATTTTTTGTAGCTGACATTATTTTGAATTTCTGGCATTAGTGAGACAGATGAGATTTCGACTTACAGGGAAAATGGGATAATTAAATTTGGGAATTGTGAATTGTGTAGGTAAAGGAAGTCATCAATTGTTGTTATCGGGAAAGATTTCTCTAAATATATAGTCAGCACATGTTCACTGGGAAGTCATTCTTTCCTGAGCATGGAGCAGACGACCCACATTTCAGCGGCTCATTACGGCCTGGAATTACTTGTAAAACAATTGTTGCTAAAGAGCACACATGAAATATCAGAGCCGGTGGAAAACACAGACACATGCATAACTGAATGATTGACTGGACATCACTTTAACAGTTCCATCTAATAGAGACATTTTATTCAACTAGTTTTTCTTTATATTCAATAAATCTATTGTTAGAATTTATTAACAGTGTTGTGCATTTCATTGAAGGAGTTCTTTTTTCAGCTTGAGTTCTGGAGAGTGCCCGGAAAAAAGAAACCAAAGTTTACTACAGCTATGGACAGTGTTGCATAATCTTTGACAGGAGTTATAAAATCTTATCCATAGTACATAATGTATATAAGGGGTTCACGCTAGACTTCACAGTCAATCCCAATATAGTAAAATTTTGAGAAACCTGAATCAATCTTATAGAGACGATACAATGGCCGATTGAACATAAGGTTGGCATTACACAATCAAGCTAGTGACTCATGACTGAGAGGTAAAAGAGCAGAAGAGACAGAGCTTGGAGACAGGCAGGAGGAGTTTAGAAGTGATAGGTTTGCTGATAGACATGTTAATGATAGAAGGGTTGTCCAACATGTCAGTAGATTACACTAATACTTATTTCCACAATTATATTTATTCCACTATTACTATTAATAACATTATATAATTGAAAATGTATGTTGGGGTAACTTACTTTCTTCACAAATTAGTATACAAACTCTTAATGATCAAACAGTGAAGCCCTGACTTTACAGAGAGGCAAATTTTTGTAGACACCAGAGAGGGGATATGTATTTCTATACTTTGCTAACATGTTCTAGAAAATAAAAACTTAATTCATGTTCTTTTGACTTCTCTTTAGCTCGAGATATTTTTATTATAAATGTTTGGGTAATTGTCTTTTCCAGTGGCAGATATTAAGGTCACTCAACATATATTTTGTAACCCAACTAGTAGTTATATGGTCATACAGATATGGAGCCTATTTTAAATTTTAGATATATTATTTTTTCTTTTTTTAATCAAAATAATAAAAAAAAATGATCTACTGATTCCAGCTTTGGACTTTTGCCTTTAAATATCACATATGAAATTGATAAAATGCCAAATGGTGAATATGTGTTTTATTAATAGACCAATAGGGATAGTTAAAAAAGTAAAATCATTTGGATAAGTAGAAAATGTAAGCCAGCAAAATAAGCTTACCCAATCTTCAATAATTTCTTTGATTGCAGACACTGTAAGGATAAATAACAGTGGAACTGCTGTGGTATATCGTCCTGTTGGTGATACATTAGGAATTTGCTGAAAAATAAGAAAAAAATGGTAAAATAATGTATCTACAATTTAACATATAATACTGAAAAAGAAACGTTCTTTTAAATGGAAAATTTCAAGTATTTCACCACATTGCTCATAATCTATTAACATCTGAATCAATGCAAAGATTTTTCTAGAAAAACCTTAAAGACAAGATCAATAGTCACAGGAAAATTAGCACCCAAGTGATGCTTCTTTCACCAAAACATTTTCATGAATTTATCATAATAGTTATCAATTCAGTTTGTGAAAGCCTTTCTGTTCATTAAAATAAAATTAAAAAGGAATTGTTTGAATGATCAAAAATGTCCTAGAAGGCAGCCATATATAAAAGTCAGAGGAAAGAACAGGTTGAGAGAGAGAAAATTGCTACAATACTATTCTTTTACTGTACCCTTATTAAAGGAAGAAAGAAAATAAAGATGTTGATGCATATTCATTTTATTCCAAGTACTTTCAACATTAGCACAATGTCATCATCAGGGTGTTGTTTTTTCTATTGTGTTCATCTGAAAATTAAATTTGTGTGTGCATGGTCTTAATGTGTGGGCAGCCCAAGATCTTTAATCAGCATGTATTTTTCAAATAGATTGTCAAAATTAGCGTATTTTTATTTACCGGTTTCAATACCAATGATGAAAGAAAAATAATATTTTTAGTATATTATGAATTTTCACTTAATGAAAGGGGAAAATGTAACTCAAACAGTAAGACCTGTTTGTACAGTTTATAGAGAAGGTACTGTAAATAACTGAACATTTACAAAGTTGTTTGCAAAATTTCACAATGCAACATAATTAAGTGACAATGGTGTGAATAAATTAAATTCAAAATATCCAAATCAAGCACTGAAAATCTTTTAACAAAGATTGGTTATGCTCATTATAGGTTAAGCAAAATAAATCCTAATGGACTATTTATGTAAGCAATTTTCCCCCCATATATCTTCCCCAATGTTCTACTCCCCACTGTTTATATCGTTGAGTCACTGTGTATCACTTTTAGTTGATGTAGCCTTATCAAATCACATTTCAACCATACAACTTTCTTAATTCATGCCACTGAATATATTACAAGAAAATTAACTATCACAAACTGTATCAAAAGTAGAACTTTATCTAAAGAAAGTGATATTGTGGCATATACAATAGGATTAAAATAAGTAACTCCACGAAATCGCTAAAAAAAAAAAAAAAAAGAGCATAGTCTGATGAAAAAGACGCCAAACTTTATGAAAACAAAATTTTATCGTCTAAATGCTTGTTTTTATGAAGAGGAAAAACCAAAGACTTTTTTAATTATTTTAAAAATTTTTTCCTTCTTTTTAGAACATTCTAAATTTTGATTAAAAAAACCTTGTTTCTCTTTGTACCAACAGGGGCTAGTAAATAACAGATAATTTTTAGCACGTTTTTTATGTATTACACATTAATTTGGAAAATCTTGCAAAAATAAAAATAATTGTCAGATGTTAATGAAACTTTCAGAAACTATTCACAGATGATCGAAATTATTATAAATATGTTTTTTTTTTTATTAAAGTCATGGCAGAAATATTTTTTTTTATATTTATTAACACCCCCATAATTAATTTTATGAAAAACTCTAGAAATTCAAGCACATCGGGTTTAGTGACTACAAGAGTTAAAAGCACAAGGCTTTGAAGAATGAAAATCATGTTTTTTTTTTTTTAATTGGCTCCACGGTACCTGAAAATCAGCTCTAAATTGTAACATACAAAACTCAATAAAACAAATATATTATTTAATTTCAAATGCTTTTATTTGTTTTTAGTTGTTTTTATGAATATGGACAATATTTTCTGAAAGCAAAAAATTTTTTCAATGAAAATTGAATTTTTAATACAATTATTTATTTTTTTAATTATAACAGATTTTTAAAAAGTTAGTTAAGTTTTTTAAAAATATTATAACATTAGTTAAAAGCAACGTCAACCTTTCAAAGTGTCCATATGAGATTATCATTGTCTAGTGCTTTGAAAATTGTATCATTTGGACCAATCAGAAGATCCGAAGTAATTAAGAAATGTAATTTTTGTGTTTATAATCGGGCGGTAATTATAAAGTACGGAAGACCAACCAGAATACAATTTAGTTGCATTATTTGAGTTCAGCATTGTTCTCTGCTGTTAAGGACTTTACTTTTGCGAAACACATATAGAGAAGTTAATTTGATTTTTCAATTTCAACTGAGAAGGGTACCTATAAGTAACAGTATCATCTCATGAAATTTAACTACTGCTAAACTTTAATTTATATGATCTTATTTTTATATTAATCTCAGTTATGACATTTTTCCATAAATGAAATATCAAAATTAATAATAAAATGAATGGAAATACAAATAACACAGTAAAATGTAATAACTGTACATAAAATTATAGTATTTTATGTACACTTCTGATAAAATTTCATAAGAAAGGTACCTATAAATTAATTAGATACCTTTTTCTTATGAAATTTAATCTCACTCTTAACAGTCTTATTTTTTAATTTCATTATATTTTCCATAAAGCATCGTAAACGTAAAGATGAAAGCTAAGTACAAAAATAAAAAAAAATGAAAAATTAGAGCGCTGAAAGTTTTCCTTAAAAGTAACGAGGTAAATAATTTGTTCACTTAAATCTAAATAATTTCACTTCCTTCCATCCGTAGAAAGAATTATCCTCCCGTAAGTTATCTAAACATCATGAAAATGTCTTTCGTCACTTGTCAAACGACGCGAAAGGTTATGACCTGCTTTGTTTTATTTTCAAATTAGATTTTTTTTTTTTTTTTTTTTTTTTTTTTTCTAAGTTAAGCTTGGTTCAAAATATTTTAAATAAACATTATAGTTTCTGATTTTATTAAAATCAGTTTTGAAAAATGATAATTGATTTTTAAAAGAACATCAAAGTCAGATTTTCATCTTTTTTATAAAATGGAAAAAAATGATTGAAAATAATTGATTATCTGTCCATTTTTTTTGACAAAGAAAAACAATATTTTTAACGAAAATTTCAGATGTGCTAGGAACGATTAAAAAATGTAAAAAAATACCCCCCAAATACTTTGATCTTTCCTCTTTAATAATAATAATATGAACATTAGACAATAAAATTTTGTTTTCGTCAAGTTCAGCATCTTTTTCATCATGCTATGCTCTTTTTGTTTACATTTCGTAGAGGTACCTAGATTAAAAGATCAGTCCTCTTCTATAAACTTCTTCCAAAGAACCAAATGACTAATTCAAACTAATGTTGGTCCTAATCAGCCCAATTGAGACTAAAAATGATTGGAAGAATGTACAAAATATTTCATGAGAATAATGCTGGATTGCATTTTTCTTTAGTGACCAGGTAAAAATAAGTTTTTCACTCATCTGTCATATTCACCAGATATTGTTTGGAATATAATTTATTCCAGTTTTTAGAAAAAAATTGGGAAAAGTGTGTGTGTGTGTGTGTGTGGTGGGGGGCTTAGACTGAAATTCTCACAGAGGAATTTGAGCTGATTTTTACTGAGCTAAATCATACTATTCTCTAATCTGCTCATATTCATATATAGTTTTGGGGACAGACAAAGGAATTTATCTGACCCTGGACATGTCATGACCTCTGATCATGCAGGATACAAGCAGTATCCTCCATAAATACAAGTTGCTGGAATGTGCAGTGAGTCAGTTCAAGCCCAGTTCCAGTTGCTAGCTATGTCAATTAGCTTGTTGCATCAAGCATACCTGAAAAGTAATTTGGCTTCCACAAATTTCCATGGAGCAAACAACTGAATTGAAGAAAGTCAAGTGCCATTGGACAATTTTTGTTTTTTTAAAAATAAATCTTTATTATTGAAGATAATTCTGCTTGTCAAGTAGTCTATTCTTACAATGGCATTACTCACCCAGTATCCAAAAAGAACACCATGGCTCAGCTAGAAAGTAAATCTTCCTCTCACTGGTAATCACAAGACAAACACTAGATGATATGAACAACTGTGAATATCGCCATAGTTCACAGAGCCAAACCTGGCAGTTACCACAAGCACAGGTATATGTTCATATTTGCTACAACCTGTAATACTTGCAGTAGAGATAAATTTCAGAATACTGACTGTAGGGCACAGGGATCACATAGTTTAAAAACTGAATGGATCAAAATATTTATTTCCTAAAAATTTTAATGGTGTTTTTATTATGCTACTAACATAAAAAAAAATTTTGATTTCAGGACAGTTTAAAATCTTTTGGAGATAGTCCAGGTTGATGGTGGAAGAAAGTTATTCTGGGAGCCCTGGCAGATTAGACTGGGGAAGAAAAAATAGTAAAACAAAGTTGAACAGTCACACCTGTTTAACAGATAAGCTCAACACCTTTGAGAAATAAATAGTATTTAGCATAAACATCATGGAGTAGGTAACAGAAAGATTTCACCAAAATTTTATATGAATGAACTGGCATATTCTTTAAACAATTTGTATAATATTCTTAAAAATAGGATTAAAGTAAATCTACACTAGAATGAGGCATTTAATAAAATGAAATATCAAAAGTTTTTCCAAATAGATTTTAATAAAATTACATCTATAAATAAATAATTTCAAGGATGAAATATTTTAACTTAATTTGTAACATACTTGTTGACAATACAAATATAATAGCATCATCTACATGCAAAAAAAAAGAAAAAAAGGCTAAAAATAATGGAAGCCTTATTAACAAAAACAAAAAGCCAACTATGAACATGGACATAATATCTTGACTGTTTTGAAAAATGAAAACATTATATAAATACATACATACATGCAACGAACTATTTCTTATTTAACAGTTAAAATATTTCATCCTTGAAATTAGTTAAATGTATAGCCGAAAGCACTTGGATAAAAAGAACATTCAGACAGTTTTTATATAATTTATCATCTGCAAGAAAAAAATTATTAGATTGTATGAGAAATTGTATAAAAAAACTAAATCGAAGCACCTTGCC